CGCAACCCTCAAAGACTTGGATGTCCACACATGGCATAAGATCATAACATAAGGTCTCCTCGCTCCATTCATCTCTGTATATATGTGTATCTGTCTCCTACATGTGCTGTCTGTCTGTCAATCAAACTAATCTCCACCTGATAATGATGAGTCATAACAACAGAGATAATACAGGAAGTCAATCAAACTAATCTCCACCTGTTAATGATGAGTCATAACAACAGAGATAATACAGGAAGTCAATCAAACTAATCTCCACCTGTTCATGACGAGTCATAACAACAGAGATAATGCAGGAAGTGTCATATAAACCTCAGTATTGTAGTGTTAAATTAACTGTATTATGTATAGTCCTTGGTAATGACATAGCTGTGAAGTGCTGTTCTTTTAGGGCCTTTGTGTGTGTGTGTGTGTGTGTGTGTGTGTGTGTGTGTGTGCGTGTGTGTGTGCATGTGTGGCTCAGGTATTTTCCTCAATCGTTGATGTCAATGGGAGTCAAATGTGTGCACATAACAACCCCACAAAACCAACTGATATTGCCAACTGCTTTTTTTCATTGGCAAGGTTAGCAAACTTAGGCATGACATGCCAACAACAAATTCTGAACCTACACATTCATGCATAATTGACCAAATTATGAAAGACAGGCATTGCAATTTTTAATTCCATAAAGTGAGTGTGGAAGAGGTGAATCAATTATTGTTGTCTATCAACAATGACAAGCCACCGGGGTCTGACAACTTGGATGGAAAATTACTGAGGATGATAGCGGACGATATTGCCACTCCTATTTGCCATCTCTTCAATCTAAGCCTACTAGAAAGTGTGTGCCCTCAGGCCTGGAGGGAAGCAAAAGTCATTCCGCTACGCAAGAATAGCAAAGTACAGTGGGGGAAAAAAGTATTTAGTCAGCCACCAATTGTGTAAATTCTCCCACTTAAAAAGATGAGAGAGGCCTGTAATTTTCATCATAGGTACACGTCAACTATGACAGACAAATTGAGATTTTTTTTCTTCCAGAAAATCACATTGTAGGATTTTTTATGAATTTATTTGCAAATTATGGTGGAAAATAAGTATTTGGTCACTTACAAACAAGCAAGATTTCTGGCTCTCACAGACCTGTAACTTCTTCTTTAAGAGGCTCCTCTGTCCTCCACTCGTTACCTGTATTAATGGCACCTGTTTGAACTTGTTATCAGTATAAAAGACACCTGTCCACAACCTCAAACAGTCACACTCCAAACTCCACTATGGCCAAGACCAAAGAGCTGTCAAAGGACACCAGAAACAAAATTGTTGACCTGCACCAGGCTAGGAAGACTGAATCTGCAATAGGTAAGCAGCTTGGTTTGAAGAAATCAACTGTGGGAGCAATTATTAGGAAATGGAAGACATTCAAGACCACTGATAATCTCCCTCGATCTGGGGCTCCACGCAAGATCTCACCCTGTGGGTTCAAAATGATCACAAGAACGGTGAGCAAAAATCCCAGAACCACACGTGGGGACCTAGTGTATGACCTGCAGAGAGCTGGGACCAAAGTAACAAAGCCTACCATCAGTAACACACTACGCCGCCAGGGACTCAAATCCTGCAGTGCGAGACGTGTCCCCCTGCTTAAGCCAGTACATGTCCAGGCCCGTCTGAAGTTTGCTAGAGTGCATTTGGATGATCCAGAAGAGGATTGGGAGAATGTCATATGGTCAGATGAAACCAAAATATAACTTTTTGGTAAAAACTAAACTCGTCGTGTTTAGAGGACAAAGAATGCTGAGTTGCATCCAAAGAACACCATACCTACTGTGAAGCATGGGGGTGGAAACATCGTGCTTTGGGGCTGTTTTTCTGCAAAGGGACCAGGACGACTGATCCGTGTAAAGGAAAGAATGAATGGGGCCATGTATCGTGAGATTTTGAGTGAAAACCTCCTTCCATCAGTAAGGGCATTGAAGATGAAACGTGGCTGGGTCTTTCAGCATGACAATGATCCCAAACACACCGCCCGGGCAACGAAGGAGTGGCTTCGTAAGAAGCATTTCAAGGTCCTGAAGTGGCCTAGCCAGTCTCCAGATCTCAACCCCATAGAAAATCTTTGGAGGGAGTTGAAAGTCTGTGTTGCCCAGCGACAGCCCCAAAACATCACTGCTCTAGAGGAGATCTGCATGGAGGAATGGGCCAAAATACCAGCAACAGTGTGCGAAAACCTTGTGAAGACTTACAGAAAACGTTTGACCTGTGTCATTGCCAACAAAGGGTATATAACAAAGTATTGAGAAACTTTTGTTATTGACCAAATACTTATTTTCCACCATAATTTGCAAAGGAATTCATTAAAAATCCTACAATGTGATTTTCTGGATTTTTTTTTCTCATTTTGTCTGTCATAGTTGACGTGTACCTATGATGAAAATTACAGGCCTCTCTCATCTTTTTAAGTGGGAGAACTTGCACAATTGGTGGCTGACTAAATACTTTTTTCCCCCACTGTACCATTTACTGGCTCAAACAGCCGACCAATCAGCTTGTTACAACCCTTAGTAGACTTTTGGAAAAAATTGTGTTTGACCAGATACAATGCTATTTCACAGTAAACAAATGAACACCTGACTTTCAGCACCCTTAAAGGGAAGGGCATTCAACACTTACACAAATTACTGATGATTGGCTGAGTGAAATCTATGATAAAAAGATTGTGGGAGCTGTTTTGACATTATCAATCATTATCAATCATAGTCTGCTGCTGGAAAAACAAATGTGTTATGGCTTTACTCCACCTGCCATATTGTGGATACAGAGTTACCTGCCTAACAGAACACGGAGGGTGTTCTTTAATGGAAGCCTCTCCAACACAATACAGGTAGTCAGGCATTCCCCAGGGCAGCTGTCTAGGCCCCTTACTTTTTTCAATATTTACTAATGACATGCCACTGGCTCTGAGTAAAGCATGTGTGTCTATGTATGCTGATGACTCAACACTATACATGTCAGCTACCTCATCAAGTGAAATCACTGCAACACTTAACAAAGAGCTGCAGTCAGTTTCAGATTGGGTGACAAGAAATAAGCTAGTACTAAATATAATTTAAAAAAACTAAAAGCATTGTATTTGGGACAAATCTTTAACTTAACCCTAAACCTCAACTAAATATTGTAATGAATAATGTGGAAATTGAGCAAGTTGAGGGGACTAAACTGCTTGGAGTAACCCTGGATTGTAAACTGTCATGGTCAAAACATGTGGATGCAACTAAGATGGGGAGGTCTGTCCATAATAAAGTGCTGTTCTGCCTTCTTAACAACACTATCAACAAGGCAGGTCCTACAGGCCCTAGTTTTGTCACACCTGGACTACTGTCCAGTCCAGTCGTGTAGTCAGGTGACACAAAGAGGGACATGGGGAAATTACAATTGGTCCAGAACAGGGCAGCATGGCTGTCCCTCAAATGTACACAGAGAGCTAATATTAATAATATGCAGGTCAATCTCTCATGGCTCAAAGTGGAAGAGAGATTGACTTCATCACTACTTATTTTTGTGAGAGGTATTGACATGTTGAATGCACTGAGCTGTCTGTTCAAACTACTAGCACACAGACACCCATGCATACCCAACAAGACATGCCACCAGAGGTCTCTTCACAGTCCCCAAGTCCAGAACAGACTATGGGAGGCGCACAGTACTACATAGAGCCATAACTACATGGAACTCCATTCAACATTGAGTAAACTCATGGAAGCAGTAACACATTATTTTTTTAAATGATACAAATACACCTTATGGAACAGCGGGGACTGTGAAGAGACACACACACAGGCACAGACACATGCAGACACACACACATGAAAACATATGCATTATACACACACGTACACTTGGATTTTGTGTTGTAGATATGTGGTAGTGGAGTAGGGGCCTGAGGGAACACACTTAATGTGTTGTGAAATCTGTTGTGAATGTATTGTAATGTTCTTAAAATTGGGGGGACCCCAGGAATAGTAGCTGCTGCCTTGACAGGAACTAATGGGGATCCATAATAAACCCCAGGAAGAGTAGCAGCTGCCTTGGCAGGAACTAATGGGGATCCATAATAAACCCCAGGAAGAGTAGCTGCTGCCTTGGCAGGAACTAATGGAGATCCATAATAAACCCCAAGAAGAGTAGCTGCTGCCTTGACAGGAACTAATGGGGATCCATAATAAACCCCAGGAAGAGTAGCAGCTGCCTTGGCAGGAACTAATAGGGATCCATAATAAACCCCAGGAAGAGTAGCTGCTGCCTTGACAGGAACTAATGGGGATCCTTAATAAACCCCAGGAAGAGTAGCAGCTGCCTTGGCAGGAACTAATGGGGATCCATAATAAACCCCAGGAAGAGTAGCTGCTGCCTTGGCAGGAACTAATGGGGATCCATAATAAACCCCAGGAAGAGTAGCTGCTGCCTTGGCAGGAACTAATGGGGATTCATAATAAATACAAACACTTGGGCTTCAGCCCCTAGCTTGTTGAATGGAGACATACAATACAGTATCCACATGTGTCTGTGTATCTGTGTGTGTGTGTGTGTGTGTGTGTGTGTGTGTGTGTGTGTGTGTGTATGTATGTGTGTTGGTGTGTGTGTGTGTGTGTGTGTGTGTGTGTGTGTGTGTGTGTGTGTATATCCATCACTGTGGCTGTGGACTTTAACATCAAAGGATCTTTAAAAGGTTCTGAGAGTTGAGCCCCACAACACCACACTAACACACACAAGTACACACACAAACACACACTCTAAAGACTGACTGGCATTTATGATATCAATGTATGCAGTGATCAAATGATGTTGTGTGTCCACACGTCTTTGGGTGTGTGTCTCATACCTCTGTTTTTCAGTCTTTCATCGAGTCACTAACCATTCCCTCTCTCTCTCTCTCTCTCTCTCTCTCTCTCTCTCTCTCTCTCTCTCTCTCTCTCTCTCTCTCTCTCTCTCTCTCTCTCTCTCTCTCTCTCACTCTCTTTCAGACACAACTAAGGTGCTAGAGCAGGAGAAACCCGCCTCGATGGAGGAGAGAGGGATGGAGGAAGAGGAAGTAAAAGCAGTAGAAGACAAACCAGCGGAAGAGAAAGAGGAGGGAGTAGCCGAGGAGAAGAGAGGGATGGAGGAGCGAGAGATGGAGAGAGAAGTAGACATAGAGAGAGAGATGGAGGTAGAGGTCGAGGTCGCGAACCCTTGCCCTACAGAAAGCCAGGGTCTCCATGGTCTCCAGGGAACCATTAAAGGTCATGACCTCTTCGGCTACGTGGGCATCGAGGCCGTTCTGGACCAGATGAGACGCAAGACCATGAAGGCTGGCTTCGAGTTCAACATCATGGTCGTGGGTGAGTCAACAAACACACACACACACACGCACACACACACACACACACACACACACTGCCAATTGATATCCTCATACAGTCCAGTCCAGTCCAGTCAGCTAACTGTGCAACCTGAGCTCACAGTTTCTCATAGTTTCTTTTTCTATATTTGACGCATTAATTCCACGTGGTTACAGGGTTCATTCCGCGTGGTTGCAGGGTTAGGGCTATGGTTTGGGGAAGACTTAAAACAAAATAATTAAAAACAATGCGTTGTTTTTATAAAGTATCGTCAAGTACTCTCCCGGCTTGCTAGAGTATTTTGTCTGAGTGCTTGGTCTGTGTGGTCTGAGGACGCTTCATGAGTTCACACCCAGTGAACGGCTAGGAAGGCATATATCAACGTCCTCAGGACCTTTACAAATGTCAGAAATCGAATGGTATTTATAGTGACCAGGCTGAGCTGTGAACAGAACATTGTATTTGTAAACACTAGCTGTTAGAGGAACTGGTGTTTAGTGTCAGATTAAAGATACAATCAGCAGTAGAAACAACATCAACTGGTGTTTAGTGTCAGATTAAAGCTACAATCAGCAGTAGAAACAATAACAAAGCGTACTCCCCACCTCTGTTTCAGTAAAAGTCTGAGGGATGGGGCTGGAGAAATGTAACCACTCAAATTCTGACTGAGCAATGGATGCAAGGACTGACCATCCATGATATCAAAATGATAGTTTTAACAATTTCTTGAGGCTACATAGTGTTTGTTTACATAAACTTTTTTATATACAAACATTGGAGTAAAACAAGCGTATATTTTGGGTTCTGATGGGGTAAGACAGTTGAACAAAGCTCATGAGGAATTTATATTATTTTATTCAATGGGTACATATCATTAATTTATGTCCAAAAATGTATGTAGCAACTCAGTTCGGTTAGCCGTCAGCATGCTTCAGTTCGGCTAGCCGTCAGCATGCTTCAGTTCGGCTAGCCGTCAGCATGCTTCAGTTCCGTCAGCATGCTTCAGTTCGGCTAGCCTTCAGCATGCTTCAGTTCCGTCAGCATGCTTCAGTTCGGCTAGCCGTCAGCATGCTTCAGTTCGGCTAGCCATCAGCATGCTTCAGTTCGGCTAGCCGTCAGCACACTCCCTTAAAAGACCTTGAAAAATGAGAAAAAAGCGGCGATGGTACTGTTTGTCCATTTTGAGACACTGTAACCAGTATACACTTCCTCAAAATAGTCAGAATTAATCTAAGATAACTCAAGAAATATGTCATTAATTTTGACGTTTTTTGCAGAGGAGATCTTAGTTGCGCAATGTTACATCTAAGTGAGATGTTTGGTGCAGTATTTCTCAATGGAACAATGAGCATGAAAACGAGTCCTCTCTTCTTGAATGACAACGAAGACTTACAGTTAAAACAAACAAAAACGTCACAAAATGTCATCATAATATATGAACGAACTCTTCCCATTTTATTTTCTGGAAAGCATGCGCCTTAAGACTGCACCTCACCTGACTTCAAAGACTCTCAAACACACACAAACACACACGCTGCACACACACACACACACACACACACACATGCTGCGCACACACTTACACACACACATCGCTACACACACGCTACACACGCTGATAACACACACACATGGCAGGAGGCACAGGGCTTACCCACAGGAAGTCAAAACAGGTGAACAGGAAAGAACGTGGATGTGTGTGTGTGTGTGTGTGTGTGTGTGTGTGTGTGTGTGTGTGTGTGTGTGTGTGTGTGTGTGTGTGTGTGTGTGTGTGTGTGTGTGCGTGTGCACATGTGTGTCAAAGGACAGAGATGTTTTTAGTTGTGCTGATGAAAAGCTCAGAAATAACATCCTTGGTCTGCAGTCTAACATGTGGGATGTTATCTATCCCTGTCTTATTGTGGGGGGTCTCATGTTGCTTCTAGCCACACACACAAACAAACACACACACACACACACATAGACACAGTTGTAATAAACAGCTGTGTGTATATAACTGCCATAGATGATTGGTAATTAGTAGTGTAGTCAGTAAACTATGAATATTATGAAGCATCTGTTTCAAAACCACCCTGTAGTACGGTTAGAAGAATATTGAGAATAACTGTCCTGTTGGTTGGATCTATAACAGCTTCAACCCAATCAGGCTGGATATTGATATTAGTGAACCTAGCAGTGGCACATTGAAGACAAAACAAACATGGAACATTTACATCAGATCACTTCCTCCAGAGGGAATTAGGAACGCTGTAGGTTCAGATTACACAGTTGATTTTGGAAATGAATGCCAGTATGGAAGTATTGTTGATTTGGTGATGAATGCCAGTATAGAAGTATTGTTGATTTGGTAATGAATGCCAGTAGAAGGATTGTTGACTTGTTTATCAACACTAGAAGAAGTATTTCTGACTTGTTTCTGAAGTATTGTGAGTGATTGATGGTGGTGTAGTGAATGGTAGAGCTGTCAGATGAGGTCCTAGAGCTCTGTGTCTCACAGTAGAGTGATTGATGATGGTGTAGTGAATGGTAGAGCTGTCAGATGAGGTCCTAGGGCTCTGTGTCTCACAGTAGAGTGATTGATGGTGGTGTAGTGAATGGTAGAGCTGTCAGAAGATGTCCTAGGGCTCTGTGTCTCTGTTAGATTAATTTGTATTTTAAGAATAATGACTAAAGGATTTCACCCCAAATACAGTATAAATGTGTGAACGGTGTTAGAGTTATAATGTAGTGGCAACCCACTAACAGAGGGGGGCGGGACTAAACATTCCAGGGTGAAGGGGACTGAGAAAACGGGTTAAAAAAAGCCTCCTAAAGGTGGGCGGAGCAAAGTGCCTTTGTGTGTCAAGGGGTATAAAACAGGAGTGTATGGGTTTTGGCGCCAGAGCTCTCCATGAATAAAAATACAGATCATTCTTGCTGGTTGTGGACCTTGAATCATTTATGATTAAAACAAGAGCCTTACAACCTCTGGTAATAATTCAAGCTTAGGTTGAATTAGAGATAGAAATTCTTGTGACAAGTGGTTTCTTCGAGCGGAGCTTAAATACGTCTTTGTCGTTCTAAGGACACCGAAACCGTGCACGTGCGGGTGATTGCATCCGTGGAGAATAGTCCTGGCCTTCGACGTTAAGGTTATAAACAGGCCGGTGATTACTCTTATGAACGATAAAGACGTTAACGAGTTTGAAAAAGCATTTAAATCCAAACTGCAAGGAAAAGGTCAGTAATTTTTATTCATGGTTTTTGGTGAAATGATTTCAACTTGTATAACAATAGTAATTCTTGTGAAGGGCAGAGAATAGTGTAGTGTCGAGAAAACTATGCTGAGATGCTGTGAGAACAAGAATTCCGCTGACACTGTACTTTGATTATAAAGGTTTATTATATCAAAGGATTCCAGCGTCAATTTACAGACATCTGCCGATATCTGGAGAATAACCGGCTCCAATCTCTAATATGTTATTCTCCCCATCCTCTGTTTTAACCATGGTATGTATATCCTATGCCCTATGTAACATAATATGGGTGTTTTCCCCTACAGACCAATCCCAGGACTCCACCTAACAGACTTCCTCTGCTTTAGGGTGCCCCTATAGAACTACTCTCCAGATGCTCCCTTAAGCTGAGTCAACATCCTCTAAGACCATTTGCAACCATTAGCAAAGTCATAAATTGTCCAGATACCATATATTTCCCCCCTTCGAGACTAACTAAGTCTCGAAAACAAAAAGAATAGGATTATGACAAATAACAATTTTTCTCTTATTGAGTAACTTTAACAATAAACCAAATTGTATGGAGAGTAAACACCTTTTTCTATGGAGTGTAAATATATTTCTATGAAATATGAACAAATCTTTATGGAGTGTGAATACATTTCTATGAAATATGAACAAATCTTGATGGAGTGTGAGAGCGAAAAACCTGTCTGGCAGCTTTCTTTCCAAATATCCATCAATCAATCAAGACAGTAAAATTCTCTCACGGCCCCTCTGCCCCAGGCAACCACTTAAGTACTACAGATAAATTCATACATCTTTATCAATGCATTTTAAACTATGATGCAATTTAAATACACATGAAAGCCTCAGCAAACAAAATACAATAACATTTGTCCACATTCAGGCTGGTCGACCCATCGGACCCTCCTGTGGATTCTCTCTGTCCCTGCCTAGACCCAATATCCATAAGCATCCACGAAATAAACAAAAACATCTGAGATCCCCACATGTACCCAATAACAGCAAATATCATTCTTCAAAAATTAATACAGAAAGAATATGACACAAATTATGTATTACACATGCAAATATGTCTATATATCATTGCAGACACTGGAATGTAGTCCACTACACTTCATCTCCTCAGCAGTGTCGACTTCCAATGTAACGCCGATGATGGAATCTGAACATTTCCACACCTTCCTTGTTCCACTTCCTCCAGTCCACTCATATTGTTCCCTCTTTGAGTATTTGAATCCCCTCTACACATTCCCCCATATGCTTCTGGAAGAAAAGAAAAGACCAAACAGTATATTTTGCAAAACAACACATTCAAATTAAAACATCAATATCAACTAAAATTATATATAAAATTATATATAAAATGAATCACATTCCATTTCCCTCCTTTGATTCATCACAAAACACTATAATCACACTAATATTTAAGAATGTGTGAAAAATGATCGGATATTCAAAATTGATATCTATCCATCAATACTCCTTTGAGTCTTTACAGAAGGTTAAACCCTCTTATCGTTTCATTTGCAAAACCCTTCAAAGTATAGGTAATATTATCTATGTTATCTTCCAAAAATTTTACACCATACCATGGAAAAAGTCCCCACTTCTCTCCTAGACTTATCCTCCAATGGTAGGCTTCCAGACTATGAAATGTCTCTCTTTCAGAATCAGATTTATCTCTTTCCCGTGCTTCCCCTCTTTTAATTTTAAAAACCTCATATAAAAGCTTCAACTTCAACATGTAACAATATCCTTTCCATCCATAGGGTAAGAATATATTCTTTCTCACCACAAACCCCCTAAATATCTCTAAAATTCCCAATAGTCACATTACCATGCAAAAACTTCTCTCACCCCATCAAAGTCCTTCTCTTCTTACTAAATGAAACATCAAAAGTTACATTATATTTCTCATTACGAACCTTATGTTCATGCTTACCCCAAAGTCATCATATAATCATCACCATCTGATATTCCCCTGATATCCCCCCCTCTTTCCATCATATGTTTTATTTAAACAAAAACAGCTTTTAGCCCTCACGGGTTTCACCTCCAATGCTTCATGAAGCGCTGTTAACTGATTTTCCTTCCTATCTAACAAATTCACATAGGTTAATTCATTTAACCAAGAACACTTAAACCTAGGCCTAAACAAATGCTTCGACAACGACATTATTGTATCTGTTAATGATTGATGCTGATACAACAGCCATGATAAAGCATAAGATTTACACGTACTTGATAGAGGTTTAGCCACCTTCTCTAAGATTCAACCCCATGTTCCTAGTGCTGGAATTCTCAACAGACATGGACCCTCAAGATTCCTCACTGATCTTACAGAATGAGTTAACTGTTGAACTAAAGATTCCTACCTGCCAATCCATCTTTAATTTCCCAAATAGGAAGAATCAAATCCATATGCCTTCCATTTAGTTTCTCTCTTCCCTAACGAGCAGTATTGATCAGATATATCTTCTTGTCTTCCATCAAAATCAAAGAACTCATCCTGTACCTCCATGATAGTATTCTCCCTAATCTTTCCCTCTAACATTATTCAAAATAAGTGAGCAATCACTCATAATCCACTTCATATCGTTGTACAAAATATACTTCCTTTCACTAGGTGAAACAGCTTCTACTTCTTGTCCTCATAACAACACTTCTTCTACATAATTATCTCTCCACTTAACTCTAAATCCCTTCACCACTGTTCTATCCCTCTTACTAACATTGAAGCTGAGCTGACTGTCCTAGAGTTCCTTCAACCCTAGCTTTCCATAACTTTTTAGTCTGACTTTTCTCTTAATTTTTCAAAAACCATTTAACTGATTTATCCACAAATTCCTTTCCCTCTAATTTTTTCAAACACCATTTCACTGATTTATCCACAAATTCCTTTCCCACTAATTTTAGGATATTTGATCCGGAAGTCCCCACCTGCTTATGACTTCTTTACACAAAAACTTGGCAAACGATTGAGCATATTTTAGCTTAGTTTGACATCTTATGCACCTCTTGGTGTAGGAATGTAAACAAGAATAACAGTCACCCCCTGTAAACATTATTTTTCATACAGATTGTCCACCTGCCTATGACATAGTCAATCTGTTCAATCAAATATGGTTCCAAAAAACCCTACTCCTTTGTGATCTTTCTCCTAATCTCCCCCCTTGCAACATTAGCTAACCCCTAGCTTCCTAAATCATCAGACCTAATAGGTCCAGAGGCGCTACTATCAACCCCTCATGGTTTCTCCCAAAACAACAAACATTCTTACTCTGAGGATTTTTTCTATTGACTTCAAAACACCTGCTTTTGAAAGTCCTTCAATTTCTGGTTCAATCCCTTGGATTGCTTCATCTTTCAATGGATACTGATTCTTCCAAGGAGGTCTGCCTCCTCGTCAAAGTTCAACTTTCACCTCAATTGGGCTGATTTCACAAATCCAATATCAGTACTACTTTGATATCACAAACATTCTTGAACTTTTTGCAACATCTCCTCTTTAATAGATTCTCAATCCATCTTCACACTGCAAATAGATTCATGTGTCATCCGTACAGCTTATGACTCACCTTGTCCTTGAGCCAAAATCATCATTTTGAGAAATCGCTGATCTTCACTCCTCCAAATCCCCCAATTCTCTTTCATCAGTACAAAAACTGCTTTCTCTGCTTCTGTCATAATTTCTCCTATTTACTTCTGCTCATAGCCTTCAGAAACCAACTAGGTTACATGTGGCACACTCTTCTCAATCTCAAATTCTTTATCCAGATAATCATCTGCGTTTATCTTCATAGCTGCTCCTTGTGGTCCTAAAATTATTCAACATGAGCTGAGTTTAACTTTCTTTGATTGATGACTCAACCATTCCTCTGAGTTCAATCATGCAGCATTCTTAAAATACTTGAGCTGAATTGAAATGGATATTCCAGAAGCCTCGCATCTGGCATATGTTCCCCCTTAAATTTCTTCCATATTTTAGCCTGCTTCAAAAAATCTTCACTGAGATTTCCAATCCAGAATACTATAGACTAATCCATCTCTGTCATCATTAACAATTGGTAAACCTTTTCCTTTGGCACTTCTACCAGACAGCCGTCTGGTGTACATCTTATTGTACAGTTCAACTTCCACAATGCATCTCTTCCCAACAATGCAATAGGTGTATGTTCTGATACCAGTATGGGTATTGTAATTTTCTAATTTTCATAGCAGAGCTCAATTGGTTCCTTAAGAGTAATCAACTGTTTCACTCCCTCAAATCCCTGTCCTAATTAGTTGATTTGACATAGTGAGATGTGTAACCTCTTCAGGCTGAACACAGATAAAAGCAGTTCTGCTATCCATCATCACTTCCCATGGTCCGTTGTTTATTTTCACCTCAATTGTTGGATCTTTTTCCCCTAACTGGTGCTACCAGCTGACACCCCCCTTTCGGATCTTCTGGGCACCCCTAGAATCCTTGCTCCTTGCCCCTATAAGGGTTCACCTGTCCTCCAGATGATCTTCACTTGCTCCTGTATCTTCCTCTGAAATTCCCTCTTGTGTTTCCTTCTGGCCCATTACACTCACAGGCAAAGTCACCAACCTGTCCACAATCATAACACACTTCTCAAGATTGCTGGAAGTATGGCTTAAATCTTCCTCCTCTTCCTCTTTCTAAGCCTTCTCGTCCTCTTCCTCTCCAATTCTTTGTCTGTCCAGAAACTGGCTATGGATATGAAACAACTTGTACCACTAGTTGTGGCTGGTACAATTGCAGTTGGAATTGGTCCAGTTGAAGCTGTAGCAGTGATTGTTGATTTGGTGCACACTAATTCTTCATAACCAAAGCTTATTTCTTCTCCTTCTTATTCTCCCCCAGTTGTATTTCATTTAGTTTTCTGAGAGTTTCTTGGTCCTGTTCTTTCTTGTTGTGTTCCTTTTTCCTGTACAGATCCACTTGATGGGCTATATGATCTCTATAGACACCTTTTGTCATGCTTCCAAGTCCAACCACCTCTGCCAGTTTGCTCCTTACTGGTGAGGGCAGTCCCATCTGCAGTTTAGCTCTCAAAATTGACTTCTCAATTTGACTCACATCTGGATCATTTCCAGTAATATTTATCCACACTTGATGAACTCTTGACACATAGGTTCTCAGATTTTCTTGTTGTCCTAGTGGGTCAATCAGAATGTTGTCAGGATGCACATTTGTTGGAAACGTATCTTTCAGTGCTCTCCACAGCCGATTTCTACTTGCAGCCAACAACTCAGGGTCATTCACTTCAATCCCCACATATCTATTAAGTCCAGCTCTCTGAAAAATTTCTTCCATATCTGGAATCCCAAGGAGATTAGCCAAAAGTCTCTTAATGTCTCCTATGGCTGACTATGTTCCCACCATAATTTCTTCCAATTTTGAAATCCAAGGATATGCTCCATCTTGAAGAGTAGGCAGCTTCTCAAGTATATCTGACATATCGGTATTCTTCAAAGGCTTATATTCTAGGTTCTGTCCTCGAAATATCATCTGGCATCATCTTTTTACTTGTGCTCTCTTTCCTTTGCCTCAATGTATTATTCTTCTCCAATTCTTGGGATCCTTTTCTCAGCAGTTTTTTCCCTTCTGTATCTTCAGCTTCTTGAGTTGTTCTTCCAGTTCTCTTACTTCTTCTAAATTATTCCCTTTATCCAGGCATGATACGCATCGGTCTATATCTCTTTCTATTTCTTCTGTGCTAGTCATTGTAGGATAAAATCCTCCTGAACATAAAGCACCTTTAATCTCCAAATCTTCATCGCTTTCTCCATCTTCACTTTCATCAGAGATCGAATCTCTAGTATCCTTCTTCTTCCTTCAACTTCCATCACCCCTTCTTTCCTCTCTTGCCAACTTCCTTCTGATCACAGAGTCATATCCACCCATGATCTCCTCTCAATCACTCTGATCATCATCATCTTCAAGTTCCATCTTCCTGAACCTCACTCCACCCTTAGTTTCCAGACATCTCGTTTTCTTCTTACTTTTGGAGTTTTGGATTCATCTTTATGGTCGTTTTTGCTTTTCCTCTCTCTATTATTCAAGCACTTTCATCATGTTGATGACGTCAGGGTTAAGAATCCCTTCCACTAGCCATGGTTGTTCAATGTCACGCCAACGTTTATTCCCTTTTCCAGATAACCTTGCAATACCATTAACTAAAGGATTACTATTTTCTACTACATCAACAGGAGTAATTACTTTCATAGTTTTTATGTCCTTTTTCCCCCTTGTAACAACTATTTTATATTCCTTTATTGTGAATTATTTTATTATTTTAGACTATGTAGCCTATTGTTCCCTCTTTTTTTTTTCCCCCAAATTTATTAATTTATTAATTTATTCATTCATCAATTTATTAATCAATTTACTTATTTGTATCAATTAATTTTATATTATTTTATTTTACCAAATTATTGATTAGTGGCAATCTTACCGCATCCGATCAGGAAAATAAATGAAAGTAGTCAACTTCAGAGCAATCCAAAAAAGAAAGACCTCTAATCCTGCAACACTACAGCACTCACAAACCCCATTGCTTAATAAGCACCCAATGACCTTAATTTTACAGAATAATGTCAGTGCTCGATTTCCCCACTCAACTCTAATCAAACCCACTCATGCACAAAAACTCCAAAATGCAATTCTTAATTACATCAATTGATCAGTCTGTTGCCAAGTCCTTGTCAAATTGTCATAACATCAAATATGCTAGGCACCCAAAATATCCTCTATGGGAAGGTAAGTTTTGTGAATAGAACAGTACCAACCTTGATTTGACTTGATCCGTTGCAGCACACTCTGTCGCATGATGCACTTGTCAGCACCTCCTCTCTCTCTCTCTCTCCTCCTTCTTATCGTCTCTCATATCACAGAAGAACAAAGAACAGACAAGAATTTAGTATTTTATGCACTCACTGGGTTATTTCAACCATTCAATACTCCTCTAGTCATACTCACTCTAAGAAATAAGCAAACAACTTAACTCAAGAATAGTATAAATAGCTCAATATCATTTTATTTATTTATTTTATTTTTTATTTTATTTTTTAATCCGTCAACATATCTCAATTTATCAATTCAATAGATCTCAATCAAATAGTTTCATCGTTAAGCAACAGCCGATTTAACAAACAGAACACTCTATTCGTGTCTAAATCTCCCCCTCCCTCTCTGTCTGCTCTGAGTCTGCGTCTCCCAGCAGCTCAGTGCAGGCAGGGGAGTGGCACATTTACTCTACGTAACTCTAAACTCATAAAATCACACGCATGCGTAGTTCATTCACCAGTGCGATTTCAGAGTGGGAAGAGCTCCCAAGCAGCGCTCTCCAAGCCTAAACAACAGCAAGTAGACAGACCAGCTGTCGCTTCGTTCTTTCCCCCCATAGACAAACAGTAACACTTAACAGAACTCACAAACCAACACAAAACATAGAACACAAATCCTACTCTCTTCCACACACACACATACAGTGGGGAAAAAAAGTATTTAGTCAGCCACCAATTGTGCAAGTTCTCCCACTTAAAAAGATGAGAGAGGCCTGTAATTTTCATCATAGGTACACGTCAACTATGACAGACAAAATGAGAAAAAAAATCCAGAAAATCACATTGTAGGATTTTTTATGCATTTATTTGCAAATTATGGTGGAAAATAAGTATTTGGTCAATAATAAAAGTTTCTCAATACTTTGTTATATACCCTTTGTTGGCAATGACACAGGTCAAACGTTTTCTGTAAGTCTTCACAAGGTTTTCACACACTGTTGCTGGTATTTTGGCCCATTCCTCCATGCAGATCTCCTCTAGAGCAGTGATGTTTTGGGGCTGTCGCTGGGCAACACAGACTTTCAACTCCCTCCAAAGATTTTCTATGGGGTTGAGATCTGGAGACTGGCTAGGCCACTCCAGGACCTTGAAATGCTTCTTACGAAGCCACTCCTTCGTTGCCCGGGCGGTGTGTTTGGGATCATTGTCATGCTGAAAGACCCAGCCACGTTTCATCTTCAATGCCCTTGCTGATGGAAGGAGGTTTTCACTCAAAATCTCACGATATATGGCCCCATTCATTCTTCCCTTTACACGGATCAGTCGTCCTGGTCCCTTTGCAGAAAAACAGCCCCAAAGCATGATGTTTCCACCCCCATGCTTCACAGTAGGTATGGTGTTCTTTGGATGCAACTCAGTATTCTTTGTCCTCCAAACACGACGAGTTGAGTTTTTACCAAAAAGTTCTATTTTGGTTTCATCTGACCATATGACATTCTCCCAATCCTCTTCTGAATCATCCAAATGCACTCTAGCAAACTTCAGACGGGCCTGGACATGTACTGACTTAAGCAGGGGGACACGTCTGGCACTGCAGGATTTGAGTCCCTGGCGGCGTAGTGTGTTACTGATGGTAGGCTTTGTTACTTTGGTCCCAGCTCTCTGCAGGTCATTCACTAGGTCCCCCCGTGTGGTTCTGGGATTTTTGCTCACCGTTCTTGTGATCATTTTGACCCCACGGGGTGAGATCTTACATTTACATTTACATTTTAGTCATTTAGCAGACGCTCTTATCCAGAGCGACTTACAGTTAGTGAATACACTTTTCTTTTTCTTTTTTTTCATACTGGCCCCCCGAGGGAATCGAACCCACAACCCTGGCGTTGCAAACACCATGCTCTATCAACTGAGCTACATCCCTGCCGGCCATTCCCTCCCCTATCCTGGACGACGCTGGGCCAATTGTGCGCCGCCCATGAGTCTCCCGGTCACGGCCGGCTGCGACAGAGCCTGGATTCGAACCAGGATCTCTAGTGGCACAGCTAGCACTGCGATGCAGTGCCTTAGACCACTGCGCCACTCAGGAAAGTCATCTTGCATGGAGCCCCAGATCGAGGGAGATTATCAGTGGTCTTGTATGTCTTCCATTTCCTAATAATTACTCCCACAGTTGATTTCTTCAAACCAAGCTGCTTACCTATTGCAGATTCAGTCTTCCCAGCCTGGTGCAGGTCTACAATTTTGTTTCTGGTGTCCTTTGACAGCTCTTTGGTCTTGGCCATAGTGGAGTTTGGAGTGTGACTGTTTGAGGTTGTGGACAGGTGTCTTTTATACTGATAACAAGTTCAAACAGGTGCCATTAATACAGGTAACGAGTGGAGGACAGAGGAGCCTCTTAAAGAAGAAGTTACAGGTCTGTGAGAGCCAGAAATCTTGCTTGTTTGTAGGTGACCAAATACTTATTTTCCACCATAATTTGCAAATAAATTCATTAAAAATCATACAATGTGATTTTCTTGAAAACATTTTCTCAATTTGTCTGTCATAGTTTACGTGTACCTATGATGAAAATTACAGGCCTCTCTCATCTTTTTAAGTGGGAGAACTTGCACAATTGGTGGCTGACTAAATACTTTTTTCCCCCACTGTACAGTTTAAGAGGATTATTTCCGTTCCTACGGACCCCTAAGCATGCTACTACCATCGCGCCATTTTTTCCCTTTGTTCCTAAATTTATGCTACCTCGAGTTCGCGGATATCCAATGAGCGGTTACATCAAACATATACTTCGTCAACTATAAGTTGAGCGGTAACTTGCAATCGAATGTATATACCACAACCCCCAGTCCCTGGGACTGACCTAAACCCACCTAATGCGCTTTTAGGATTTTCGGCCCATCCTAATGATCGCCTCGTTGGAGGGCTTGCCATAGATTCGCGATGTTCTAATTTGTACACATTTTCCTTAGTTCCTGGCCTTTCCTTCCTTGTATTCTTTTAGAATTTTATTCAAGCAAAATATCCCTATAGACACTCCCCCCTGTTTGCGTTGTTACCAGCGCAAACAAATTTAGAAATTTAGAACGGACTCTTATCCCACAGCAAATAACAGCAAAGCACACATGCAAGTTCTTAACGGTGCATTCATTCAACGCACACACAGACACACGAACTAACCAGTGCCCAAAGTGGTGAGAAAACTCACCCTTATCTGCCGGACTCTGGAGCGAGAGTCAGCTCGGCGCCCATGAATGGAACGCTGAGAAAAGACGCAACACGACCAATACCTCGTCGCCATTATGTAGTGTCGAGAAAACTATGCTGAGATGCTGTGAGAACAAGAATTCCACTGACACTGTACTTTGATTATAAAGATTTATTATATCAAAGGATTCCAGCGTCAATTTACAGACATCTGCCGATATCTGGAGAATAACCGGCTCCAATCTCTAATATGTTATTCTCCCCGTCCTCTGTTTTAACCGTGGTATTTATATACTATGCCCTATGTAACATAATATGGGTGTGTTCCCCTACAGACCAATCCCAGGACTCCACCTAACAGACTTCCTCTGCTTTAGGGTGCCCCTATAGAACTACTCTCCAAATGCTCCCTTAAGCTGAGTCAACATCCTCTAAGACCATTTGCAACCATTAGCAAAGTCATAAATTGTCCAGATACCACAATAGTTACCAAAATCTCAAAGGAAATAATTATTATTATGATGGAAGGAAGGAGGGTCCGTAATTGACCCTAGGTAAATAGCTATTACCAAAATAATCTAGTTAATATTGAGATTGTACGAGATACAGTCTTTACAATATAAACAGGAAGGGGGATAATTTTCGTCGTGTGCGATAGATACATTAAACAGGTCAAAAGTCGCGTAAACAACTGAGGATTGTCGTAGAAATATTTGACTAAGAGATAATCAACTCAAAAATATCTCTCAAGACACCGGAGCTTGTGAATTCAAGAATTAGACTTTATTGCATAACAAAGCCTGAGTTTGCTCCATGGAACAACTGTCTCTCTCTGGCTTAGAGATCTCTTATATACACACATATGAAAAAAACATGCATACATTCCTAACTTATTTTAGTTCTGCCCCACCCTTCTTTCTCAACGTCCAGCTGTTACACATTGTCCACTCCAAAATGTCATGAATGCTTTTTTTCTATATGAAGCCTCTCATTCTATCATTCTATTGGCTGCGTGGCTTAGGCCCCTTCTTAAAAAAACTAATGTAATGCACACTGTTTGAGAGCCTCTGTGAAAGAACACATGCATTCATTTAAAACACAGCATATACTTCATGTCTATATTCCTTATTTAAGCATGTATCTGGATTATAAAATATCAAACATGTTTATTATATTTTACCTTTGGCATCTCCCTACATGTGCCATAATGATACATAAAATAATCCTATATAATCCCCCCTATGGGACATTCCAATAATGTCCCAAATAATACAAAGATTAATTTTAAAATGAATGTAAGCATGTGCATTTACTTATTCTTAGCCTTGCCATATGTGGTTTCATTTCACACGCATATATTTAAACCAATATATCTTCCTCATTACTTGACCCATCCTGATGAGGACCCATAGCCCAGTCAGGTATTGGATACAAGTCTGCAAGGTTTTCCTCTAAATTAACCTCCCCATTTTCCTGTTGGGCTTTGTAACCATGGCAGGCCCATCCACCCCCAGGAACAACTCCATACAGACATTCAGGATTCCCAAATGGACAGTCCATTGGTCCTCCTTTAACATTACAAGATTTCCCATATTTATTAACATACTGTCCTGGAGCTCCCTGAACTGGGTGTATTTCTTTGGCTGAACTAATAACAATTGTCTGTACAGTCATTTGTTTTACTGTGGTTTGAATCAAAAGTGATTTTAACAGAGGTAGTATACAACAAAACACTACTCCCATTACTACAAGTGATATTCCTATCATTATTGCCATTTTTGTAAACATTGCACCCCATTTTCCCAAAGTTAATTCCATCCAGTCCCAAACATGAGCATCATACCCAGCATTATCCTTAACCTCTTTTCGTAGTCCCTTGAGTTTAGTCATTGCTTCAGTGAAAGAACAATCCGGGGCAGTATTATTGGGGATAAAAGTACAACATTCATCTCCAAACATAACACAAACTCCACCTTTTTCTGCTAATAGCCAATTTAGAGCCTGCCTATTCTGCCATGCCATTCTACTGGTAGCCTGTACTTGCTCTCCTAAAGCTGATAATGCAGAGTCTGTGTAATTAATAAACCTTTGTTGATTATAATAAATATAATTGATCCATTCTAAGTTTTTGTTGGTTGTAATCCAGACAAATATTGATTCAAATCCTGCTTTAATTTCATCTCTTGCCTTTTATTCATTTGGAATTCCTCTGGGTTGACCTATTGCATCCAAATATACACTGGGGTCATGTTCATATGATCTTTTTACCCTTTTATTATTATTCTGTGCATCCCTATTTGTTGTTTGGTCTACCTCCCACTCCGATATAACCACCTCCTGAAGCATTTGTACTCTAGCACATACTCCCTTCCATCCTTTAAGCAAAGTAGCTCTAATCCTTTGTCCTTCACATACCCAAAAGAAATCTGCCACTGCCACCGATTGATCCTCATAAGGAGAAATCAATGGCATTGCCAGTGTTTGCTTCTCACATTCCCCAGGGTCACCCGGCCCTCCATTTGTAGCTATTACCCCAGTACTTGATCCTGCTGCCTGATAAACTGCTCTGTGGGGGGTATCTGCATTCCAGGACGTATCATTATTTAGGTGCCATGTGGTCTCACACTTTCCCTTAAATTTTCCCAAATCGTGCTCCCCATCTGTTTTATTGTAGCATTCATAATTTAGATTATAGTCTATACGGTATTTTTCCGGTGCTTCCATTTTTCTGGGCTCTATTCTGATATCTAATTTTTTACACCACTCTCCCCATCCTGTTTGATTATAGAATCTGTAATGATAGGGATTTCCCAAAAATGATAAACATTCTGCAGGACAGTAGGGCCTTTCTCCTCTTTTAAGATGACAGTAGCTTCGTTGGAAGTTAGCACAGTCCTTGTAACTGTGTGGACTTGGTATTACTATCAATTCTTTTAATGGAGAAGGAGCACATACTAAACAATTTGTTTTTCTATTAATTATTTTAGCTGAATATTGTGCCCATTTGTACCAATCATTTTGCATGGCTCCCTCCCATAGCCTTTCTATTTTTTGTGATGCTATTATTACTTTCGGTATTACTGTTGGGGCTGAGGTAGATTGTCTATTTTCCTGACTTCCCCAGTTTGTTAAAGAATCCCATACATTTTGAAAAAACCCATTTGTTCCTATTTTTTCTAATCCTGTCTTTGTTGGTTCAACTGCTATAGTACTTAGTGGTCCTTGGGTAGTGGTCATAGTTACCTTAACTATTTCAGGTTCTTCCTCCTATCTAGATTGGTGTTTGGAAATAGGATCAATGTCCATTGTTGTTATACTATTTCCTTCTAACCCTTTAACACTATCTATTTCCAATATGTACTTTGCATTATTTTCTTGAGTCAATTCCTTAAAGGTAATTTCCCAACTAGTGTCTCCTTTGTTAACTTCTATTTGACAGCCATATTCATCCCAGATTGCTTCTCCTCTTGTTTGATGTTTAGCCCACCCACAAAGTGATTTTTCTGGCAGAGGTTTTATCCTACGTATTGAAAAGGATCTTTGAGTTTCTTCAACTGTCAGTACTTGCGCTGGAATAGAAATACTAGTTCGAGCTATCCCCAATGGTACATGCTTTTTTATTATATTCTTCAATCTAACTTTAGGGGGCAATTTCTTAAGCACTGATGGAATCATGAGATGTTTAGCTTGTTTTATATCCATTATTTTTCCATGTCTATTTACTTGTGGCTCAACTTCTACACAATGATTTTTTAGACATTTTATTCTAAACATTACATATCCTTCAATCTGACATTTCCCCAATCTAGGCCATCCTGTATACGATACTTGTTCTTTGTTTACAACAGCAATTCTTCCTGGCTCAGTAAGACTATCTCTAGAATATTGTATAGTTGTAGGCAGACCCACCACCATCTCTCCTAGGTTAACTGCTATTACCGTTAGAGCAATTCCACAGTTCTTAAATTGTCTGAGATCATGTGAGGGCAGAGAAGTCAATTGTGGAAAAGTCTCTTTCCTCAACAGCAGAGGAGTTTCTTCCTTCAATGGTAGAAAGATCGCTTCTTCCTCCTTCTCCTGTTGTCCCTCCACTCCCTGGGTGTCTGCTTGTGTTTGGGGGATCTGCCATGGCAGGCATCCTATCAGCAGTATTCCCACATCATCAGGCCCCACCTCCCGACTCTCTGGATTTTCAGGTGGGATTGCCTGTTGTCCTTGGACTCGTGCATGCTTCTTCTTCTTGGACTCCATCTGATGCCTCGACATCCCCCTCTTCCCCATGGCTCGCCGATGGCAGACCGGTTCTCTTCGGGACCCTGGTGCAGTGGTTTAGATGGTACCACGTCGTGCTTCCTTCCACCTGTACTGCTGTGGGCGTCGCTCGGATCACCGTATATGGTCCTTCTCTCCTGGGCTCGTTCCACTTCCTACGAAACACTCGGATGTAGACTTGATCTCCTGGAATCACCGGCCCTGGCTCCTCTGGTCCAGGTTCCGGTTCTCGCCCTTTTTCCTGGAGATAGATCACTTTATGTATAGCAGTTAGTTGTCTTACATATGCTTTAAGTTCCATCTCTAATTGTTCCAATGAGGGTCCTTTGTAGGGCCCTCTTAGACCTGGCACTGGCATGGGTCGACCCGTAAGCATTTCATGCGGGGTTAGATGCGTATTTCTGTTAGTTTGCATGCGATAACTCATCAATGCTAGTGGTAGTGCATCCACCCAATTGAGTTTTGCACTAGCACAGATTTTATTCAGTTTAGCCTTGAGGGTGCCATTAATTCTCTCAACCATCCCCTGAGATTGCGGCCGATACACACACCCTAATCTTTGCTTAATCCTTAACTGCTGTAATACTTGCTTCACTGTTTTCTGAATAAACGCTGATCCATTGTCTGAACTGATTTCTGTTGGTATTCCGAATCTGGGTATTACTTCTCTAGTTAGAAATTTGATTACTGTTCCTGATCCTAGATCTACTGAGGGTACCGCCTCTACCCATCTACTGAATCTATCTATGATCACTAGCATGTACCTTTTGCCATTCACCTTTTTTATCATATTTACATAGTCCATGACTAAATGTCGAAATGGTCCTTCAGGAACCGGTATGTGCCCTATAGGCGTTGTTATTCCTTTCCTTACATTGTTTTGTGCACACACCTCACATCTTGCTAATGCCTCATCTATTGTTGCCTGTAGGTATGGAGACCAGTATCCTTGTTTTTTAATTTTCCTTACTATTTCCCCCCTTGCGCAATGGTCAAAACCATGCGCATCAGTTATCAGTAAGTTGAGCAACACAATGGGTGCTACTATGGTTCCTTCATGTGACCTCCATAATCCCTTCACATCTTTGGTGGCCCCTCTTTTGTGCCACATAGTCTGTTCATAAGGTCCTGCTCTTTCCTGCATCCTTATTATATCGTCTGGCTGTGACATGGATTCAATAATGTCCATTGGTGCTGTTAACACTGGGACGGTGCATCTAGATGCCTTTCTTGCAGCTTCATCAGCTGCATTGTTTCCTTTAGTTATAAATCCTTTTCCTTTTCTATGCGCCTGACATTTCACTATCGCCAATTTAGTGGGATACATTAACGCCATCATTAATTCCACAATCTGCTCGTGGTGTTGTATGGGTGTACCATCGCTTTTCTTGAACCCTCGCTGCTTCCAGACTGCCCCAAATAGATGACACACCCCATGTGCATATGCTGAATCAGTATAGATATTAACAGTTTTTTCGTTTTCCTAGGATGCAAGCTGCAGTGAGTGCTTTTAGTTCAGCCAACTGGGCTGAGCATGGCTGTGGACAGTACTCTGCTATCACTCTTTGAAACTTTCTCCTTGTTTTTGCACTACTGCATAGCCTGCATGATTTCCCACATGATCTTTATAACAGGATCCCATCAACAAAATACTCTTCTATGCACTCTTCCCCTAGGCTGGACAACGGGGTTGACTCTAAGTCTGGCCTTAGTCGAGTAAATGTCAATGAATCTGCTACACAGTCATGTGCTTGCCCCTCAAACTCTAAGGGGATTCTTTCAGCTGGGTTTACTGTACTGCATCGTTTAATGGAAACATCCGGATAGGTCAATAGAGTCATGTATTCCAAAGTTCTAGCATTGGTAAGGACAAACTTCCCTTGTTCTATTAGTTCCACTATTTTATGGTGTGTATATATTATTACCGGGTATCCCATAGTAATTGTGGACGCTTTGTCATATTCATATTGTAATGCAGCTAGACCTTGATAACTGGGTGGATATCCCTGGGCAACAGAATCTAGTTTAGAACTATAATACGCAATAGGTTGTTTTCGTCTTCCACTGCATGTCTCTTGCATAAGTACCGCTGTTGCATACCTATCACATCTATTTGCCACATACAACAAGAATGGTTTTGTGTAATCTGGGGCTGCTAGAGCCGGAGCTGACTGTATTTCCTTCTTTATTGTTTCGAACGCAGTCAATGCGTCACTATTCCATTCCAGGCTTGCTCTAAGGTCTAGTTGTCCTGCTTCTTTCATGATTTCTCGTAGAGGAGCAGTTTTAACTGCATACTCCTCTATCCAGTCTGAGCTGAATCCAGTCATCCCTAAGAGCGTCATCATCTGAGCAACTGTTTGAGGTAGTGGTGCCTTGCTGATTCCTTCCAATTGTCCTGGTGCTATTGCCTTTGTTCCATGTGCAATTGTTCTTCCTAGATATTCAACTTGGGATTGGCAATACTGAAGTTTCTTTTTTGACACCTTGTGTCCTCCTTCTGCCAGTCGCTTTAAAAACTTCATAGAATCAGCATGGCATTGTTCTAAGGAGGTAGCGCAGATCAACAGGTCATCCACGTACTGGATCAATGTTCCTTCAAATATTAGATCTTCTAGATCTACTCTTAACACCCGATTGAACAAATGAGGAGAATGCTTAAATCCCTGTGGAGTTCGAGTATACGTAAGTTGTTTACCTTTGTAAGTAAATGCAAACAAGTGTCTGCATTTTTCTGCCAGGGGCACACTAAAAAATGCTCCACATAGGTCAATCACTGTGAAGTACTTTGCTTCTGGGGGAACATTTGTGAGTAACGTATGAGGGTTTGGAACATCAGCAGGCCAATCTTGTACTATTTCATTTATGGCCCTTAAATCATGTACCAGCCTCCACGTTTTCCCATCTGCTTTAAGGACCGGCAACAAAGGTGTATTGCAACAACTTTGTGTTTCTATTAGTACTCCTGCTTTTATCAGTCCTTCAATTGTGCCACTGATGCCCTCTTCTGCTTCAGGTTTCATATGGTATTGAGCCCTCCAAGGGGCTTAACATGTGGCTTTGTTTTGACAAAACACAGGACTTGCCGATTTTACCAATCCAACATCTGTATCATGTTGTGACCATACCTCCTGAGGTATGTTTTTCTCCATTTCCTGTTTTAGCTTGTCCTCCAATTCTGTTACTTCCCCTAGCTGTGTTAGCTGTTGGGATGTAACTTCCACTGCCCTGGGGTCCCCAGTCATTATGTAGTATGGTGTATCTTGATTAAGGCTTTATCTTTCGAGTGATAAATCAGTGGATTTTCTGTTTTGTTCCATTGAATTGTTTTTGCTCGCATCATCATGGTGCCCAAATCCTTAGCCTCCATTCCCTTGTTCACCAGCAAGGTAATGTGTGGGGCAGCTTCAGAAACATTATATACCATTTTGCCACAAAGTCTGAGGCCATCCATGTCCGTCACCTCCATTGCTTGCTCCTTGATTTCCTATAATTATGTACTGAGACATTATAGGTACTGATTTCCCATTTGTATTTAACAACCACAGTTGCTCTAAAAGATCATCACGATAGGGATCATATTGCATGGTGCAGTGAAATTCTGACTTTCCGCTTCTGGTATCTGAGCCTGAATAAACCTACCCCCATTTCTTTACTACTCTATCTACTTCTGTCTCAATATCCCCTAACCATAGACATTTGCTGTATCCTGTTTTCATTACCATTTGTAAGTTTAACCCTGCCCTCTCTATAATTACTCCTTCAGAGGAACATCGAATTTGTATACCCATTTTGCATAGGGCAATCTCTTCCCAACAGATTGACAGGGGTGTGTTCTGATACAAGTATAGGGAGGGTTGCGGATTTGTCATCCGCTGTCAGGCGAACTGGAGCTGTCATTGGAATTAACTGCGTTTGTCCCGAGAATCCTATAGGTTTTGCATATTTGCCAGACATGGGGAGGTGAGAGGCATAATTTGGACTTACACAAGTGTAAGTGGCTCCAGTATCAACCATCATTGGTGTGCCTCTGTTCTCTATTTGAACCTGCAGCATAGGTTCTTGATCAGCTTGTGTAGTTAGTACTGTAAACTGACCCTCCCCGGTAGGATTCTCTGGGCACCCCTAGTACCCCTGATTAGGCCCAGCCCATGGATTCACAGGACCTTGGATTTGTTGCTGATTTTGTTGCCAGCCGCCAGGTTGCTTCCAATTATTTTGGTTTTTGTTCCCCTGTTGTTTGCCAGGGGTTTGTGGGGCAGTTTCGTCTGATATGCCCTTGCTGCTGGCATCCCCAGCAAATTCCAGGTTGCCCTTGTGGGCCCTGATTTCCCCCTTTTTAAATTTTTTGGCTAAAATTTTTTTGTTTTTTATTTTTATTTTTTCCTTGCCGGGTTTTGTTGTGCATACCATTCAAAACTGGTACGGTGGGTTTTTATTTGGGGCCTGTGGGGGCGGGGGCAGATATGGCCCTCCTGGAGTAACTGCAGCCATCGTCCTTTTTTCCCTTTTTCCAGGTGCTGTTCTGGGGCCGGGATTTTCTTCTTCCTCTGTTTGTCAGTTCTTCCCAATTTGGGGTTTTTAGTCGGTTTTCCCCTGAATTCCCCCTCCCTGTCCATAAGTCCTGTTCTTTCCTTTTCTGTGTTTTTTCTTTAAATGCATGATCACATTTGGCAAAAGAATTCTTTTGTTTTCCCTTTTAGGGTTAAATCCCCCCACATCCCCCAGCCGCTTCTTACTGATTGGGGCATTGCCTCTATTATGGAGTTTTGGAATGATTGGGCCCTCCCTTGGGGCCCCTTCTGGATCTCCCTTCCGTTTTCCCGTTTTCCATCGTTTTCTTTCATGTAGATTTGGCAGGGTGGGGTTCTCAGTTTTTTTCCCAGGGGTTTCCCCCCCCTTTTATTTACTTGGGGGCCAAATTTTCGCCGGGTATTCCCCGTCTTAAAGGGGGGGCCAGACCTTTGGGGCGGTGTTTAAAACAAAGTCCCTCCCCTCTCCTTTTGGGTCACGTCAAATTTTCACTCAGGCCCTGTTTCCCCCTATATTTCCCCCATCTTTTTCCTTTCCCCCCACCCTTGCCAAAAGTGCCTTCAATCCCCCCAAACCCGCCGTTTCCCCCTGGGCTGTTCCTCCCAAAAAAAAAACCTAATCCATTTTTTCCCCCCCCCCTCCTGCAAACTGGCAACGGGGAACCAATCCTTTCCAGGTCCTGTGATCCCCCCCTGGAGCATAGTTTACCCCCGGGTACCTTTTATCAGAATTGGATATTGTCCCTTATATTTTTTTTAGGTCTTTTCAAAGTTCTCCATTGCCCCAATCTTTTTTTCTCTTACGCCTTATTGCAAACTCCCCATATGTTTTCCCCCCTTCCCCCTCTTCCCCGTATGCTTTCTTTAAACCAAACTTTGCTCCCTTTTTTTTTCTTCCTTTTTTCTCAAAATTTGCCTCTCCTGCCTTTCTCTCCTATTTTTCGTTTGTTGCTTCAAATTTTTTGGGTTTTTTCATTTGAAGTTCTCCCTCATCTCTTCGTCCATTTTTCATTCTTCCCCAAGCTTTCCCCCACTCTCCATAGCATTCCCCAAACTATTTTGGGTTGATTTTAAAACCCTTGGGTTGATTCCCTTTTTTTTTCCTTTTGATCTTTTTTCCTCCTTTGGGGGGAAAAGTAAAAAAAGGTCTTTCTTCTTTTTTCCCTTTTTATTTCTTTTTTCCCCCTTTTTTGATACCTACTCCGGGCACCTGGGGGTATTTTCCACCAAAATATGGGGGGGGTCCCCCAGACCAAATTCTTTTTTTTTTGGGGTTGTTTTTTCATCAAACTTTTTCCCCAACATGTTTTCGGGTTTTCGCCTTTTTTCTTTAGCAATCCCCTTTTCCTTCCATTTTTAAAAATGTTGAAAACTTCTTTTTTCCTTTTTTTTTCTTTTTTTTGCCCCTTCTCTTCTTTCCTGTTCTTTTGCTTTTTTGGGGGGTTTTATCAGTGTTTTTTCCCTTTCCCCACCAAAAGAGGCCAAACAAATGTTTCCCCCTTCTGGGCCCTTTGGGGCCCCTTTTCCCGGGGCGTTTCTCCCCATTTTTCAGATTTTTCGCTATTTTTTTTTTTCCTTGCCTAAGGGTACCTGGGACTCAGTATTTCTAAAAACCCCCTTTTAATTTTTTTTATGGCCTATATTTTTTTTAAACCCTTTTTAATCTATTTTATATTCCTCCTTTTTTTATTTAAATTTTATATTGTATTTGTTTTTTTTTTGGGTTAAAACTATTTTTGCTTTCTTTGATTTTTGTTTGGTTAGAAATTTTTTTATTAAATTTAAAGGGCTTTGACAGTCTCCTTATTTATAAAATATTTCCTGATGTCCTTTTTTGTGGGGGACAAAAATCCTAACTTTCCCCTTTCTATTGGGTTTTTTTTTTTACTTTTAAAACACTCACTATATTCTTTAGGAAAAATAAAATGCCTTTCCTGATGTCCCCTTTCTTTTTGTGGGGCAACTCATAATCTTTCCCTTTCCCCGGTTTTTTTTTTTACTTTAAATCACCCTATATTTTTTTTATTAAAAAAAATGACTTATCCAAAGTCCACTTTTTTTTGTGTGGACAACTCATAAAACTTTCCCTTTCCCAAATACAGAGATTTTCACACCCACTTTTTCCCCCTCACTCCTTTTTCTCTTTTACCCTTTGGGGTGAGGGCCGGGCGTCCCTTTTTACCAGGTTTTGCCCTTAAGCAACGGGCCCGAAAAGGGGCCCAACCTTTCTCCCCCCAAAAACCCGAGATTTTCCCCTCACTTGGGACTCTCACCCCCTTTCACTCTTTCACTCTTGGTTGAACCGGGTGCGTCCTTTTTAAACCCGTTTTCCCTTAAATAAAGGTCCAAAAAAAGGGTGCCAACCTTTCCCCCACCCAAAAACAGAGATTTTTCACACTTTCCCTTTCACTCTCACCTTTTTTTCACTCTTTCAAATCTTGGGGGAGACCCGGGGGCCCTCCTTCTTACCAGTCACACTTAGTAAAAGGGGCCCCAAAAAAGGGGCGCCAACCCTTTTTTCCCCAAAACACAGAGATTTTTACACCCACTTGCAAAATCTCACTCTTTTACCTCTTTACTCTTGGGGAGAAAAAAGGGGGCGCCTTTTTAAACCCGGGGCCACTTAATAAAGGGCCAAAAAGGGCCCAACCCTTTCCCCCCCAAAAAAGAGATTTTTTCACACCACTTGCACTCTCCCCTTTTACTCTTTTTCCCCCTTTTTTTTGAGACCCCGGGGGGCGTCCTTCTTAAAACCCGGGTTCAGTAAGTACGGTCCCGAAAAGGTGTTCCAAAAACCTTTTTCCACCAACCCCAAAGATTTTTACACCCCACTTGCACTCCCCACTCTTTCCCCTCTTTCACTCTTGGTGTGAGACCGGTTTTCCTCCTTCCTTTTCTCATAAAAACTTTTTCCCCTTTCAATTTTTTTTTTTTCTTACTTTAAATCAAATCAGCTATATTTTTATGTAATTAAACGGGCTTATCCCGAGGGCCCTTTTCCCTTTTTTGTGGGGCAACTCAAAATCTTTCCCCTTCCTAATGGGGTTTTTTTTTAGCTTTAAAACACTCATCTATTTTTTTATGTTTAAAATAAAAAAGACTTTCCCGATTCCCCCTTTTTTTTTTTTTTGTTTGGGCCCCTAAAACTTTTTCCCTTCCTAGTACAGAGATTTTCACACTCACTTGCACTCTCACTCTTTTACTCTTTCACTCTTGGTGTGAACCGGGGTGCGTCCTTCTTACCAGGTTACACTTAAGCAACAGTCCAGAAAAGGTGCGCCAACCTTTCTCCACCAAACACAGAGATTTTCACACTCACTTGCACTCTCACTCTTTCACTCTTTCACTCTTGGTGTGAGACCGGGTGCGTCCTTCTTACCAGGTTACACTTAAGTAACGGTCCAGAAAAGGTGCGCCAACCTTTCTCCACCAAACACAGAGATTTCAAACGACCTCAAACACAGCTTCTCTCCTCAACACAGAAAATGAGCTGTTATCTGCAGGATTTCTTATTATTCTCATTCATATAGATGAGCAGCCACTTGTGCCCAAATGAATCAGACAGTTGAATGACTCACAGCCGCCAAAGCAAAACCAGTCACTCACACAAGATGAGCAGACCTACTCTATTTAATACTTTATCAAAAATGTTAAGCCCTTGTGACTATTTAACCCGTTCACCTACTCAGGATGACCAGTGTTACTCCAATTTATGGATGACCTAACTTTTTTTTTTTTTTTTACCTGATCGACCCTACCTAATTTTGGCATCACCACAACACAGGATGATGCCCTGCCTGCCCGTTCAGACCTCTGGAATTTTAGCTCTCCAAAGCGGTATCCACAGGATTTATATTTATTTAGCCCAGGTGTTACACTTTCTCTACACACCTGGACTTCTACTACGCTTTCCTAAGCGACCTGTAAATTCCGCCCTATTTTTTCCGTTGCACTTCCTCAACACAGAAAAAGGAGCGGTATTACACAGGATTTCTGCCTACCTAAGCAGCCTATAAACGATACACTTTCGCTACACGTTTATAGCGGTATTCGAAGGACTTAACATGTTATTGTCTGATCGCTCAACCAGCTGGACAGCCGCCCGTGTTGAAATGACCCAGACAGAGCGATCAGCAAAATGAATCAAATGAATCGACCGAATCGAACAGACGCATCAGATGAGCAACCCGAGTGACCCCGACGATTGAACGCAAGAGTTGAGCAGTCGAATCAAACAGATCAATCAGACTGTCCAACTCAGCAACCCGAATGAGACAGATTAATCATCCAACCTGACCACAATCTATCAAATCTCAATGGATTAAACAGAATTAGTAGCAGGATGAACAATTGAATCAAATGTTTTGAAGAAACGGTTCAGACGAACAACCGAGTGTCATTGACAAGTACAAGACGCGTCAAACCGTCGGTTTAGTCAAACAGATGCATTCATACTGACCAAATGATCAACTCAAACGAGACAAATAACCCACCCCACTCAACCACAATGACTGACCTACACCAACCCAGGCAGACCTATTTATACTATTTTCTACTTATTGCAACCCTCGAGGCTTTTTATCATTTAGCATGTATTTTAAATTCAAAAGCTCCCAGTGTCTATTTTTCTGGTTCTTATATTTGGAGAGACCTACTAGGTTTTTCTGCAGATGTTGCCGAGCCCCGGGTCGAACCACACAAACGTTATACTATATAAGTAAGAACTTGGCTTACCTCTTAAAAGCGGCCGCTTTTGTTTGTATGGTCCGTCCAAGCCGTTTCACAACTGCAGATGTACACCGTCTCTGATCCCTATTTTTCAACTGCTGGCAAGCTCGCCAAATTATGTCGTAGAAATATTTGACTAAGAGATAATCAACTCAAAAATATCTCTCAAGACACCGGAGCTTGTGAATTCAAGAATTAGACTTTATTGCATAACAAAGCCTGAGTTTGCTCCATGGAACAACTGTCTCTCTCTGGCTTAGAGATCTCTTATATACACACATATGAAAAAAACATGCATACATTCCTAACTTATTTTAGTTCTGCCCCACCCTTCTTTCTCAACGTCCAGCTGTTACACATTGTCCACTCCAAAATGTCATGAATGCTTTTTTTCTATATGAAGCCTCTCATTCTATCATTCTATTGGCTGCGTGGCTTAGGCCCCTTCTTAAAAAAACTAATGTAATGCACACTGTTTGAGAGCCTCTGTGAAAGAACACATGCATTCATTTAAAACACAGCATATACTTCATGTCTATATTCCTTATTTAAGCATGTATCTGGATTATAAAATATCAAACATGTTTATTATATTTTACCTTTGGCATCTCCCTACATGTGCCATAATGATACATAAAATAATCCTATAGGATTTGCTCTAACTCTGTCTGTTTCATGAAACTGGAGCAGTTACGACCTCTAGGTTACGGATAGTGTTAGCAAATGATCGTATAATGTTGTATACGTGTGAGACTTGATGATCCATCGGAATACGTGATAATTGTTTCAAGGAGGGACTGAATTAGAACGCGTGAGAAAAAATGGTTATCTGACCCCTTTCATGAAACCGGAGTTTAAAAAAAACTCTGGGTTACGGGTTAGATAATTTAAATGGTTAATTACAAAAGCAGATCATAACATTGGCTCAAGAGACGCACTAATAATAACTCCTAGGAAAATAATTCTGGATTGAATTATTACTAAACGGGGGGATTTCTTATTTTTCCACCATGGGAAATAAATATTCTAAAGAGGTCCGAGAATTAACGGGGGATGAAAGATATATGTTAGGAAGAGATCGAAGAAATATGTTTTATGGATCCATTTGGGAGAAGAGGTATGGATTTATTGGGCATCTCGATGTGGAAAAGTTAAAAGTTATGATTAAGCAGATGCATGTAAACTGTGGAAAGATCCACCACCACCTCGCACCAATTACGCTATGGCCTTACCATTATTAAGAAATAAAAGGGAAGCGACCCGACATACATACTATTTTAAGAATAATGACTAAAGGATTTCACCCCAAATACAGTATAAATGTGTGAACGGTGTTAGAGTTATAATGTAGTGGCAACCCACTAACAGAGGGGGGCGGGACTAAACATTCCAGGGTGAAGGGGACTGAGAAAACGGGTTAAAAAAAGCCTCCTAAAGGTGGGCGGAGCAAAGTGCCTTTGTGTGTCAAGGGGTATAAAACAGGAGTGTATGGGTTTTGGCGCCAGAGCTCTCCATGAATAAAAATACAGATCATTCTTGCTGGTTGTGGACCTTGAATCATTTATGATTAAAACCAGAGCCTTACAACCTCTGGTAATGATTCAAGCTTAGGTTGAATTAGAGATAGAAATTCTCGTGACAGTCTCACAGTAGAGTGATTGATGGTGGTGTAGTGAATGGTAGAGCTGTCAGAGGAGGTCCTAGGGCTCTGTGTCTCACAGTAGAGTGATTGATGTTGTTGTAGTGAATGGTAGAGCTGTCAGAGGAGGTCCTAGGGCTCTGTGTCTCACAGTAGAGTGATTGATGGTGGTGTAGTGAATGGTAGAGCTGTCAGAGGATGTCCTAGGGCTCTGTGTCTCACAGTAGAGTGATTGATGATGGTGTAGTGAATGGTAGAGCTGTCAGATGAGGTCCTAGGGCTCTGTGTCTCACAGTAGAGTGATTGATGGTGGTGTAGTGAATGGTAGAGCTGTCAGAGGAGGTCCTAGGGCTCTGTGTCTCACAGTAGAGTGATTGATGTTGTTGTATTGAATGTAGAGCTTCAGAGGAGGTCCGAGGGGCTCTGTGTGCTCACATAGAGTGATTGATTGTGGTGTAGTGAATTGTAGAGCTGTCAAGAGGGCCTTAGGGCTCCTGTTTGCTCAGAAGAAAACATATTTGTTTCTAGTCCACCTGCTGTTTGGCTATAGAGCCAAAATACCACACACTATCTGCTCAGTATCTCAACATATTCTTCCTATCCACTTCCGGTGCTCTTGCTCTATAAATCCCCTCCACTCTCCTTTCTCTCTCTCCCCTCTCTCTCATCTCTCTCTCTCTCTCTCGTCTGCTCTGCTCATCGGCTCTCTATCCTGTCTCTCTCTGTCTCTACATGATGCTATCCTTCTCTTCTCTCTCTCATTGCTAGTCTCTCATCGGGCTCATCTCTCCTCTTCTCTCCTTCTCTACCGCTGAGTGTTCTTTCAGTGGAGCCAAAATACCTCTGATCCGTTGTGTTCTAGAGCGTTCTGACCTTTATTTAAAATAGCCACCCCACTCTGGTCTGACCAATCACAGAACACCACACAGAGGCTGATTCAGGTTGGACCAATCAGGTCAACCTCACATGGTGGCTGGCTTGGATTCTGACCAATCACAGAGCTCGACAGTGGTGGCTGGCTCCCAGGTTACTATGGCCTTTCCTATGCTCCTGTGGCCAAGCATGCAGGGAGCGAGAGAGGCGGAGGAGAGAGGAGGAGAAGAGAGGAGAAAGGGAGGAGAGGATAGAGGGAGGAGATGTAGAGGAGAGGAGGAGCTCTCTCTCTCCTCTCTCCTTCCTTCTCTCTCTCTCTCTCTCTCTCTCTTTCTCTCTCTCTCTCTCTCTCTCTCTCTCGCTCTCTCTCTCGCTCTCTCGCTCTCTTGCTCTCTCCTTCTCTCTCTCTCTCTCCTTCTCTCTCTCTCTCTCAACTTTAGTTCTCTATCTTCACTCCTATGTTTGATCAACAGACATGGGTGTGATAGACAAAGTGAAAGGACTGTCAGTCAGATGAAACAGGAAGAGAAGCCAATCGCTGTTAGAAAAAGATACACACTCAGGATGAGGGACAGGGGTGACACACAAACACACACACACACACACACGTACTACACACACACACACACACACACACACACACACACACACACACACACACACACACATCAAATTTAAGGCCAGCGACTGAGTGTTCTTCCACAGCAGGAAGGAGGTGACTGGACCAACACACACACTTCCTGTTCACAACGATCCACTTCCCTTATTCCCATCATGACTGAAATCGCTACCAAACACACACGCATAAGCACAACCACGCAGCACACACACACACACACACACACACACACACTCACAGCTATAGAGCTATATTGTAAGTCCCAGTATGTAGTCCACCATATATTTTAACCCTGACAGTAGATGTGGGACTCAAACAGCTCCTGACAGCTAGCCACCTGTGTGTGTGTAGCCTATAAACACTAGTTAGTGTATGGTGTGTGTGTGGTGTGTGAGACTCAAATGTCTAGTCCCCTTCGTCTCACACTGTGACACACAGTGACACGTGTGTTGACATGGTGACCTGAATGACATCACTAATCAGGTGACGGTGTGAGACAGGTAGAACAATATTACTCTCCAGGTAATGACCTCACACACGTGCGTGCATGTATGTGTGATAAGGATTACTGTAAGTAATCTGACAGTATAATGTCATGTCGTCAGGGTACTTTTGGACACACTCCAAACTCTTCCTTAATCCTGCTGAACCCTGAATCACCTGACTGATAACATCATCACCTGGTCTACCTGGGACAGACTCTTACATAACCCTACTGAGAGAGAGAGAGAGATAGATAGAGGAGGGTAGAGAGAGAGAGATAGAGGAGGGTAGAGAGAGAGACAGACAGAGAGAGGGGGGAAGAGAGGGACAGAGACAGACAGAACCAAAGAGAGAGGTGAGGCAGACACTCCTGCTTTTACATTTTACATTTACATTTTAGTCATTTAGCAGACGCTCTTATCCAGAGCAACTTACAGGAGCAATTAGGGTTAAGTGCCTTGCTCAAGGGCACATTGACAGATTTTTCACCTAGTCGACTCAGGGATTATAACCAGTGACCTTTCGGTTACTGGCACAACGCTCTTAACCACTAAGCTACCTGCCGCCCGCTTTTTCACCTTTATATTGGTAATCAATATCAAATCAAATCCATTTTTATTTGTCACATGCGCCGAATACAACAGGTGTAGACCTTACCGTAAAATACTTACTTACAAGCCCTTAACCAACAATGCAGTTTTAAGAAAATAGAGTTAAGAAAATATTTACTAAAGAAACTAAAGTTTAAAAAAACATAACACATCAGTGTATGTAACCATCAGTGTACGTAACCATCAGTGTTTGTAACCATCAGTGTATGTAACCATCAGTGTATGTAACCATCAGTGTTTGTAACCATCAGTGTATGTAACTATCAGTGTTTGTAACCATCAGTGTATGTAACCATCAGTGTATGTAACCATCAGTGTTTGTAACCATCAGTGTATGTAACCATCAGTGTAACCATTATCCCCTGAATAAATACAAGTTAAATTAAAAAATATATATATATATAAATTAGGTAGGGCCCTGTGTTTTGGTTAATCATGTCACATGACCTGGATTGTAACATTTATTTAAAGCTTTTCGTCAAACAGTACCCTTTTAGTTTTATGTCAGATGCTTACATTTTTGGTCTAATTCTCATTTCTGTAAAAGGCTTAAAATGAAGGTTAAAGGTCCTGTGACATGATTAACCAAAACACAGGGCCCTAGCTATACAATACAGTGGAACAGTCTATTAAAAGTTATGATGAGATGGATCATTCCCTCAAATAGAATCAGTGTTCAAGGAATATAAAGAGAACCTGAAGTCAAGTCACACACTGACACACTGACACACACATACACACGCTGACACACGCTGACACACACTGATCTACACTGACCCACACAGATCTACACAGATCTACACAGATTTACACTGACCCACACAGATCTACACAGATCTACACTGACCCACACAGATCTACACAGATCTACACAGACGTATACTGACCCACACACTTGTGTGAGATCATTGATTTCAATTAAAATAATAAAGTAGCACGTACATATGGATGCTAGAGGGACTCCACAGGTTCAATATAAACATATGTGTTATTAAACAGTGTATCTCTCTCCTGTCTTTCTCCTACTGGTCACAGTGGTCTGGGGAAGTCTACCCTGGTCAACACTAAACAGTGTATCTCTCTCCTGTCTTTCTCCTACTGGTCACAGTGGTCTGGGGAAGTCTACCCTGGTCAACACTAAACAGTGTATCTCTCTCCTGTCTTTCTCCTACTGGTCACAGTGGTCTGGGGAAGTCTACCCTGGTCAACACTAAACAGTGTATCTCTCTCCTGTCTTTCTCCTACAGGTCAGAGTGGTCTGGGGAAGTCTACCCTGGTCAACACTCTGTTCAAGTCTAAAGTCAGCCGCAAGTCCTGCACCCCTAACTACGAAGAGAAGATCTCCAAGACTGTCAAACTGCAGTCCGTCAGCCATGGTGAGCACACACACACACACACACACACACACCAGATATACAGTGCCTTCGGAAAGTATTCATACCCCTTGACTTTTTCCACATTTTGTTAGATTACAGCCTTATTCTAAAATGTATTAAATTGTTTTTTCCCCCCCTCATCAATCTACACACAATACCCCATAATGACAAAGCAAAAACAGGTTTTTAGAAATCTTTGCAAATGTATTAAAAATAAAAAACTGAAATATATCATTTACATAAGTATTCAGACCCTTTACTCAGGACTTTGTTGAAGCACCTAGATATAGCCTCGAGTCTTCTTGGGTATGATGCTACAAGCTTGGCACACCTGTATTTGGGGATTTTCTCCCATTCTTCTCTGCAGATCCTCTCAAGCTCTGTCAGGTTGGATGGGGAGCGTTGCTGCATAGCTATTTTCAGGTCTCTCCAGAGATGTTCAATCGGGTTCAAGTCCGGGCTCTGGCTGGGCCACTCAAGGACATTCAGAGACTTGTCCCAAAGCCACTCCTGCGTTGTCTTGGCTGTGTGCTTAGGGTTGTTGTCCTGTTGGAAGGTGAACCTTCACACCAGTCTCAGGTCCTGAGCGATCTGGAGCAGGTTTTCATCAAGGATCTCTCTGTACTTTGCTCCGTTCATCTTTCCCTTGATCCTGACTAGTCTCCCAGTCCCTGCCAATGAAAAACATCCCCACAGCATTATGCTGCCACCACCATGCTTCACCGTAGGGATGGTGCCAGGTTTCCTCCAGACGTGACGCTTGTCATTCAGGCCAAAGAGTTGAATCTTGGTTTCATCAGACCAGAGAATCTTGTTTCTCATGGTCTGAGAATCTTTAGATGCCTTTTGACAAACTCCAAGTGGGCTATCATGTGCCTTTTACTGAGGAGTGGCTTCCGTCTGGTCACTCTACCATAAAGGCCTGATTGGTGGAGTGCTGCAGAGATGGTTGCCCTTCTGGAAGATTCTCCCATCTCCACAGAGGAACTCTAGAGCTCTATCAGAGTGGCCATCAAGTTCTTGGTCACCTCCCTGACCAAGGCCCTTCTCCCCCGATTGCTCAGTTTGGCCGGGTGGACATAGAGATATGCCCTCTGACATAACTCACACAACACCATCTTTCTGGATGTATATAGACGACACAAACATATCCTTTTGCTTTTCCTTCAGCACTTAGTAACAAGGGCAGTGTTTACATGTTGGAGTGGTCATGTTAGAGAAACCCTCAGTCCTAGTGACCCTCGGTCCTCTGTAGCTCAATTGGTAGAGCATGGCACTTGTAACGCCAGGATAGTGGGTTTGATCCCCGGGACCACCCATACGTAAACATGTATGCACACATGACTGTAAGTCGCTTTGGATAAAAGCGTCTGCTAAATGGCATATTATATTATTAGTAGATATCAGGACTGGTTACAGTAGAATAATTAGAGTGGTCATGTTAGAGAAACCCTCAGTCCTAGTAGATATCAGTGTGTAATATCAGTGGGCCAGATAGAGTGTGTTGAAATAGTAGTGGGCCAGATAGAGTGTGTTGAAATAGTAGTGGGCCAGATAGAGTGTGTTGAAATAGTAGTGGGCAGATAGAGTGTGTTGAAATAGTAGTGGGCCAGATAGAGTGTGTTGAAATAGTAATGGGCCAGATAGAGTGTGTTGTAATAGCAGTGGGCCAGATAGAGGAGAGAGTGTTTTAAAATAGCAGTGGGCCAGATAGAGAGAATGTGTTGTATTAGCAGTGGGCCAGATAGAGTATGTTGTAATAGCAGTGGGCCAGATAGAGTGTGTTGAAATAGCAGTGGGACAGATAGAGGAGAGTGTGTTGAAATAGCAGTGGGCCAGATAGAGTGTGTTGTAATAGCAGTGTGCCAGATATAGTGTGTTGTAATAGCAGTGGGCCAGATAGAGTGTGTTGAAATAGCAGTGGGCCAGATAGAGTGTGTTGTAATAGCAGTGAGACAGATAGAGTGTGTTGTAATAGCAGTGGGCCAGATAGAGTGTGTTGAAATAGCAGTGGGCCAGATAGAGTGTGTTGTAATAGCAGTGGGCCAGATTGAGGAGAGTGTGTTGAAATAGCAGTGAGCCAGATAGAGTGTGTTGAAATAGCAGTTGGCCAGATAGAGGAGAGAGTGTTTTAAAATAGCAGTGGGCCAGATAGAGAGAATGTGTTGTATTAGCAGTGGGCCAGATAGAGTATGTTGTAATAGCAGTGGGCCAGATAGAGTGTGTTGAAATAGCAGTGGGACAGATAGAGGAGAGTGTGTTGAAATAGCAGTGGGCCAGATAGGTGTGTTGTAATAGCAGTGTGCCAGATAGAGTGTGTTGTAATAGCAGTGGGCCAGATAGAGTGTGTTGAAATAGCAGTGGGCCAGAATAGAGTGTGTTGTAATAGCAGTGGGCCAGATAGAGTGTGTTGAAATAGCAGTGGGCCAGATAGAGTGTGTTGAAATAGCAGTGGGCCAGATAGAGTGTGTTGTAATAGCAGTGGGCCAGATAGAGGAGAGTGTGTTGAAATAGCAGTGAGCCAGATAGTGTGTTGAAATAGCAGTTGGCCAGATAGTGGAGAGAGTGTTTTAAAATAGCAGTGGGCCAGATAGAGTGTGTTGAAATAGCAGTGGGCCAGGTAGAGAGAATGTGTTGAAATAGCAGTGAGCCGGATAGAGTGTGTTGAAATAGCAGTTGGCCAGATAGAGGAGAGAGTGTTTTAAATTAGCAGTGGGCCAGATAGAGTGTGTTGAAATAGCAGTGGGCCAGGTAGAGAGAATGTGTTGTATTAGCAGTGGTCCATATAGAGTGTGTTGTAATAGCAGTGGGCTAGATTGAGTGTGTTGTAATAGCAGTGGGCCAGATAAAGTGTGTTGTAATAGCAGTGTGCCAGAAAGAGTGTGTTGTAATAGCAGTGGGCCAGATAGAGTGTGTTGTAATAGCAGTGGGCCAGATAGAGTGTGTTGTAATAGCAGTGGGCCAGATAGAGTGTGTTGTAATAGCAGTGGGCCAGATAGAGTGTGTTGTAATAGCAGTGGGACAGATAGAGTGTGTTGTAATATCAGTGTGCCAGATAGAGTGTGTTGAAATAGCAGTGTGCCAGATAGAGTGTGTTGTAATAGCAGTGGGCCAGATAGACTGTGTTGTAATAGCAGTGGGCCAGATAGAGTGTGTTGTAATAGCAGTGGGCCAGATAGATGTGTGTTGTAATAGCAGTGAGCCAGATAGAGTGTGTTGTAATAGCAGTGGGCCAGATAGAGTGTATTGTAATAGCAGTGGGCCAGATATAGTGTGTTGTAATAGCAGTGGGCCAGATAGAGTGTGTTGTAATAGCAGTGAGACAGATAGAGTGTATTGTAATAGCAGTGGGCCAGATAGAGTGTGTTGTAATAGCAGTGGGCCAGATAGAGTGTGTTGTAATAGCAGTGGGCCAGGTTCCAATGTGTGTTCTGGACCCAGCAGCTTAGACCACTAGACCACCCTAGGCCACAATGGTAGCTCTGTCTTGGACAGGCTAGATACTGTATACGGTGAGTAGAGTGACTGGTCCTTAGCTCCAGTCAAGATAGTGGAGCAGAGTTGATATCAGCTGACAAAGGGGTAGCCTAAAAGGCCAAGTAGTGGAAGTATTGTTGTGACTAGCAGGGCCAAAGGTCAAGTACAGTGCCTTGCAAAAGTATTCATCCCCCTTGGCGTTTTTCCTATTTTGTTGCATTACAACCTGTAATTTAAATGGATTTGTATTTGTATTTCATGTAATGGACATACACAAAATAGTCCAAATCGGTAAAGTGAAATGAAATAAATAACTTGTTTCAAAAATGTCTACAAAATAAATAATGGAAATAAGGTGCGTGCATATGTATTCACCCCCTTTGCTATGAAGCCCCTAAATAAGATCTGGTGCAACCAATTACCTTCAGAAATCACATAATTACTTAAATAAAGTCCACCTGTGTGCAATCTAAGTGTCACATGATCTGTCACATGATCTCAGTATATAGACACCTGTTCTGAAAGGCTCCAGAGTCTGCAACACCACTAAGTAAGGGGTACCACCTAGCAAGCGGCACCATGAAGACCAAGGAGCTCTCCAAACAGGTCAGGGACAAAGTTGTGGAGAAGTACAGATCAGGGTTGGGTTCTAAAAAAATATCAGAAAATTTAAACATCCCACAGAGCACCATTAAATCCATTATAAAAAAATTGAAAGAATATGGCATCACAACAAACCTACGAAGAGAGGACCGCCACCAAAACTTGCGGACCAGGCAATGAGGGCATTAATCAAAGAGGCAACAAAGAGACCAAAGATAACCCTGAAGGAGCTGCAAAGCTCCACAGCAAAGATTTGAGTATCTGTCCATAGGACCACTTTAAGCTGTACGCTCCACAGAGCTGGGCTTTACAGAAGAGTGGCCAGAAAAAAGCCATTGCTTAAAGAAAAAAATAAGCAAACACGTTTACTCTGTTTCTAGTCTCTGTCTGCTTAACAGATTTATGAAACATGTAACATATGTCATATGGCTACCAGTAACTTCCCACCCTGTGGTAAACATCACTTCCTCTGTTTCTAGTCTCTGTCTGCTTAACAGCTTTATGAAACATGTAACATATGTCATATGGCTACCAGTAACTTCCCACCCTGTGGTAAACATCACTTCCTCTGTTTCTAGTCTCTGTCTGCTTAACAAATGTATGAAACATGTAACATATGTCATATGGCTACCAGTAACTTCCCACCCTGTGGTAAACATCACTTCCTCTGTTTCTAGTCTCTGTCTGCTTAACAGCTTTATGAAACATGTAACATATGTCATATGGCTACCAGTAACTTCCCACACTGTGGTAAACATCACTTACTCTGTTTCTAGTCTCTGTGTTAGATTGTGATAAGTACCCGTAAAGACACAGTCTAAACTCCAGTTAGACTCTACTGTGATAAGTTCCCGTAAAGACCCAGTCTAAACTCCAGCTAGACTCTACTGTGATAAGTTCCCGTAAAGACCCAGTCTAAACTCCAGTTAGACTCTACTGTGATAAGTTCCCGTAAAGACCCAGTCTAAACTCCAGTTAGACTCTACTGTGATAAGTTCCCGTAAAGACCCAGTCTAAACTCCAGTTAGACTCTACTGTGATAAGTTCCCGTAAAGACCCAGTCTAAACTCCAGTTAGACTCTACTGTGATAAGTTCCCGTAAAGACCCAGTCTAAACTCCAGTTAGACTCTACTGTGATAAGTTATATATATATATATATATATATATATATATATATATATACACTACCGGTCAAAGGTTTTAGAACACCTACTCATTCAAGGGTTTTTCTTTATTTTTACTATTTTCTACATTGTAGAATAACGGTGAAGACATCAAAACTATGAAATAACACATATGGAATCATGTAGTAACCAAAAAGTGTTAAACAAATCATAGCCACCCTTTGCCTTGTTGACAGCTTTGCACATTATTGGCATTCTCTCAACCAGCTTCATGAGGTAGTCACCTGGAATTCATTTCAATTAACAGGTGTGCCTTCTTAAAAGTTAATTTGTGGAATTTCTTTCCTTCTTAATGCATTTGAGCCAATCAGTTGTGTTGTGACAAGGTAGGGGAGGTATACAGAAGATAGCCCTATTTGGTAAAAGACCAAGTCCATATTATGGCAAGAACAGCTCAAATAAGCAAATAGATGATGAAGAGTTAATTAGTTAAAGCAAGTCTGTTAATGCTAGGGGGAATTCAAATGTGAACCCGTCTGGGTCCCCATGAGCAGGATTGGGAAACACTGGGTTAGGGGGACCTCTGACTGACCTCTACCTCCTGAACTCACGGCCCGGGGGGGGGGGGGGGGGGGGGGGGGGGGCATTGCACAACACTTGTCCCCCTGGATACTGTAAATATTTAGAGCTAGATGTCGCCCCTGGCTACAGATCTAGGATCAGATTTCCTCCCTCTGTACTAACCTCTGACCCTATGTCAGTGGTTAGGGGACAGCTTCTACCTTCTTCCTGTAAATGTCCGAACCTTGGGGAAGAGAAAGCGCCTCACATCCTCTGTCCCCTGGCTACTATAAAGCACACAGGGAGATGCAGTAAAACAGACAGGAAAACAGACAGAGAGATGCTGTAAAACAGACAGTAAAATCAGACTTACTCAATCCTACTGTACCTCGATGTGGGACTGAGAGAGAGAGAGAGAGAGAGAGAGAGAGAGAGAGTGGTTATAGAGACAGGTTATAGACAGTCAGTTGTAACAGGTTTCAGGTAATCTTAATGATAATGCACCAGAAGGTCATTTCCGTCTAGAGGAGATTCCTGAAAGCTTACACAACATCACGGGCCTCAAATTATAGTCTTTATAGTCTTTCGGATTTAGGGTTTAACACACACACACACAGTACACACACACACACGTACACACACACAAAAACACACACGAACACACACACACAGTACACACACAAAAACACACACGAACACATGCATGCACTCATTCATGCTAAAACACACATACTGTAGGACAGAGGTATACTAGATATCTTTATCTCATCATCTCTGCCTCTTAGAAACACACACACACACACACACAGAAACACACACACACACACAGTACACACACACACACAGTACACACACAGTACACACACAGTACACACACAGTACACACACACAGTACACACACAGTACACACACAGTACACACACACAGTGCACACACACACACAGAGTGCACACACACAGTACACACACACACGCAGTACACACACACAGTCCATACAGAATGTACTAGGAAAGGAATTCCTAGTAAGCACACTCTCAAATACTATACCATTTCCATTCTTTCTTGCTCGCTTGGACACACTCGCACACACACACATTTTAACAACTGTTTTTGTCTCAAAAGAACTCAGAGATGGAATATTCCTAGAAGGGGTTTGATAGCCGACCTTTCCACTGTTTGTCTCTCTCTCTCTCTCTCTCTCTCTCTCTCTCTCTCTCTCTCTCTCTCTCTCTCTCTCTCTCTCTCTCTCTCTCTCTCTCTCTCTCTCTCTCTCTCTCGCTGTCTCTCTCTCTCTCTCTCTCTCTCTCTCTCTTTGGTGTCATAACTACTGTGACTTGACCCTTCTGTTTAGTCTCTGTCTCTCAGTCATCTCTAATGGCTCCTCTCTCTGTGTGTGTGTCATATCTCCTCTCTCTGTGTCTCTACAGTGATAGAGGAGAAGGGAGTGAAGATGAAGCTGACAGTGATTGACACTCCAGGATTTGGAGACCAGATAAACAACGAAAACTGGTGAGTGATGGAGGGAGGGAGAGAGAGAGAGAGATGAAGGGTGGAAGAGAGATGGAGGGCAGGGGAAAGAGAGATGGCTTCCAAAACGACCCCAAGGTGAGAAGTGTCAGCACTACTGGCCCAACATTCCATCTGTTTTCAGGCTCATTCAATTACTCCCATGTTGCTATGCTTCATGCTATGTTAACAACAGTTATTTATGACTGTTTCAGTGGGACTTTTATAGGGGATAATTATATAGCTGATCATTTTATTGATTTCTAGTTAAATTCATTTACGTTTTCCGACCGAAATGATATTTTAACTAAGAGTCTTAAATGTGTTGTGCAGTTGTTGTGTTTACCACTCATCCTCCTCTCTTTCTCTCCTTCTCTCTCCCTCTCCCATCACCCCTTCCCCTTCCCCGAGAGAGAGAAGAGAGGAGAAGAAAGAAAAGAAGGAGAGAGAGGAGAGCTCCTTCCCTCCTTCCCACCCTCCTCCCCTTCCTCTCTCTCTCTCCTTCTCTCTCCCATCCCTTCCCTCCGCCCTCCCCCTCTCTCTCCCCCCACCTCTCCCCTCCCCTCCCCAACCCCACCCCCCCCTCCCTCCTCCTCCTCTAGTTGGGAGCCTATAGTAAGTTATGTTAATGAGCAGTATGAGAGGTACCTGAAGGAGGAGCTGTACGTCAACAGGAAGCGGAGGATCCCTGACACACGCGTGCACTGCTGCGTCTACTTCCTGCCTGCCACCGGACACTGGTGAGAACCCTCACGTCACTTCCTCTGACATCACTTCCTATGACTTCTCCAGCAGATCTCTATACTATACCTTATGAATAGCCTGTCTGATCAGATCTCAGCTAACTGTACTATACCTTATGAATAGCCTGTCTGATCAGATCTCAGCTAACTGCTACTATACCTTATGAATAGCCTGTCTGATCAGATCTCAGCTAACTGCTACTATACCTTATGAATAGCCTGTCTGATCAGATCTCAGCTAACTGTACTATACCTTATGAATAGCCTGTCTGATCAGATCTCAGCTAACTGTACTATACCTTATGAATAGCCTGACTGATCAGATCTCAGCTAACTGCTACTATACCTTATGAAAGCCTGTGTGATCAGATCTTAGCTAACTGCTACTATACCTTATGAATAGCCTGTTTGATCAGATCTCAGCTAACTTCTACTATACCTTATGAATAGCCTGTCTGATCAGATCTCAGATAACTGCTACTATACCTTATGAATAGCCTGTCTGATCAGATCTCAGCTAACTGTTACTATACCTTATGAATGGTCTGTCTGATCAGATCTCAGCTAACTGCTACTATACCTTATGAATAGCCTGTCTGTTCAGATCTCAGCTAACTGCTACTATACCTTATGAATAGCCATCTGGTCAGATCTCAGCTAACTGCTACTATACCTTATGAATAGCCTGTCTGATCAGATCTAAGCTAACTGCTACTATACCTTATGAATAGCCTGTCTGATCAGATCTCAGCTAACTGCTACTATACCTTACGAATAGCCTGTCTGATCAGATCTCAGCTAACTGCTACTATACCTTATGAATAGCCTGTCTGATCAGATCTCAGCTAACTGCTACTATACCTTATGAATAGCCTGTCTGATCAGATCTCAGCTAACTGTACTATACCTTATGAATAGCCTGTCTGATCAGATCTCAGCTAACTGTTACTATACCTTATGAATAGCCTGTCTGATCAGATCTCAGCTAACTGTACTACCTATGATAGTAACTAGCTAACGGTTACTAACTTATGAATAGCCTGTCTGATCAGATCTCAGCTAACTGTACTATACCTTATGAATAGCCTGACTGATCAGATCTAAGCTAACTGCTACTATACCTTATGAATAGCCTGTGTGATCAGATCTCAGCTAACTGCTACTATACCTTATGAATAGCCTGTCTGATCAGATCTCAACTAACTGCTACTATACCTTATGGAATAGCCTGCCTGATCAGATCTCAGCTAACTGTACTATACCTTTTGAATAGCCTGTCTGATCAGATCTCAGCTAACTGTTACTATACCTTATGAATAGCCTGTCTGATCAGATCTCAGCTAACTGCTACTATACCTTATGAATAGCCTGTCTGATCAGATCTCAGCTAACTGTTACTATACCTTATGAATAGCCTGTCTGATCAGATCTCAGCTAACTGCTACTATACCTTATGAATAGCCTGTATGATCATATCTCAGCTAACTGCTACTATACCTTATCAATAGCCTGTCTGATCAGATCTCAGCTAACTGCTACTATACCTTATGAATAGCCTGTCTGATCAGATCTCAGCTAACTGCTACTATACCTAATGAATAGCCTGTCTGATCAGATCTCAGCTAACTGCTACTATACCTTATGAATAGCCTGTCTGATCAGATCTCAGCTAACTGCTATTATACCTTATGAATAGCCTGTCTGATCAGATCTCAGCTAACTGCTACTATACCTTATGAATAGCCTGTCTGATCAGATCTTAGCTAACTGCTACTATACCTTATGGAATAGCCTGCCTGATCAGATCTCAGCTAACTGTACTATACCTTATGAATAGCCTGTCTGGTGGTGCAGGTCTAGATGTACTCTAGCCCAGGGGTTCTTAAACCTCTCGTCTGGGGGACCCCCAGACGTTCCATGGATTTTACCACAGCTAGCACACCTGATTCAACTTGTCAACTAATCATCAACCGCTTACCTGAATCAGGTGAGCTATAGTTCAAGGCTACAACAAAGTTGTGAAATGTCTGGGGGTCCCTGAGGAGAGGTATTTAAACCCCTGCTCTAGCCAACTGTACTAGACTAGACTACTAGACTACTGTGGGCTACATGACAGACAGGAGTTGGCTGAAGCAGTAGATAGCAATTACTAGGTAGATGGTTATCCACATAGTTGAAAAACCCTTACCACTCAGCACGCTGTCTCCCGTCTCCTGCCCCCTAGCTGTCTTACTTTCTGCCCTCAAAACAATTGGATCAGCTCCCCATACCCCAGTCCAGTTAGCCCCCCCCTACCCCAGTCCAGTTAGCTCCCCCTACCCCAGTCCAGTTAACTTCCCCTACCCCAGTCCAGTTAGCCCCCCCTACCCCAGTCCAGTTAGCTCCCCCTACCCCGGTCCAGTTACCTCCCCCTACCCCAGTCCACTTAGCTTCTCCTACCCCATTCCAGTTAACTCCCCCTACCCCAGTCCAGTTAGCTCCCCCTATCCCAGTCCAGTTAGCTCCCCCTACCCCATTCCAGTTAACTCCCCCTACCCCAGTCCAGTTAGCTCCCCCTACCCCATTCCAGTTAACTCCCCCTACCCCTGACTTTTGACCTGTTGACCCCCAGAGTGGTGACCTGAGGTACTGACTGACCTGAGCTGACCCCTTACCTCTAACCTCTGTGAACTCAGAGTAGCTCTACATCCTACTGCTCAGCTAGGGCTGGGGCTGGGCAAGGCTGGGTCTAGGGTACAGGGCTCGGGCTGGGGCTAAAATGTAACCAGTTGTTTCTGTTCCCTGTAGGTTACGTCCCATAGACGTGGAGTTCATGAAGAGGCTGGGAAAGATAGTCAGCATTGTACCGGTCATCGCTAAGGCAGACACACTCACTATGGAGGAGAGACTGGAGTTTAAACAGAGGGTGAGAGGAACATACTGTACCTACTGTCTGACAGACTCAACCTGAGGATAACTACGTCCTGCCTTAATACCAAGTTAAAACAGATCAACTGACATTAGAGAGGAATGTTGGAGGATCTATCTACACAGGAGTGGAATGGCAACCATACTGAGAGTATGGAGGAGATAGACATATGTTTATAGATGAGAGAGAGAGAGATAGAGAGAGAGAGAGGAGAGAGGGAGAGAGAGAGAGAGAGAGAGAGGAGAGAGAGAGAGAGAGAGAGAGAGAGAGAGAGAGAGAGAGAGAGAGAGAGAGAGAGAGAGAGAGAGAAGAAAGATAGAAATTATAAGTGTGTAGAGGAGATGGAGTGATGTTTACAGATGCATCAAAAGATTGAAAGAGAGAAAAGTGAGAGTAAGATAGAGGAGAGAGAGAGCCGTTAAATTCTATAACCACTTAAAAGGAAGCGATTCCCAAACCTTCCATAACAAAGCCATCACCTACAGAGAGATGAACTAGGAGAAGAGTCCCCTAAGCAAGCTGGTCCTGGGGCTCTGTTCACAAACAGACCCCACAGAGCCCCAGGACAACAACACAATTAGACCCAACCAAATCAAGAGAAAACAAAAATATAATTACTTGACACATTGGAAAGAATTAACAAAAAAACAGAGCAAACTAGAATGCTATTTGGCCCTAAACAGAGAGTACACAGTGGCAGAATACCTGACCACTGTGACTGACCCAAACTTAAGGAAAGCTTTGACTATGTACAGACTCGGTGAGCATAGCCTTGCTATTGAGAAATGCCGCCGTAGGCAGACCTGGCTCTCAAGAGAAGACAGGTTATGTGCACACTGCCCACAAAATGAGGTGGAAACAGAGCTGCACTTCCTAACCTCCTGCCAAATGTATGACCATATTAGAGACACATATTTCCCTCAGATTACAGAGATCCACAAAGAATTTGAAAACAAACCCAATTTTGATAAACTCCCTTATCTATTGGGTGAAATACCACACTGTGCCGTCACAGCAGCAAGATTTGTGACCTGTTGCCACAAGAAAAGGGCAACCAAATGTTATTTATTTATTTCCCCATTTGTACTTTAACTATTTGCACATTGTTACAACACTGTATATAGACATAATATGACATTTGAAATGTCTCTATTATTACAACAAGTGAAGAACAAACACCATTGTAAATCATATTTATTGTTTATTTCACTTTTGTTTACTATCTATTTCACTTGCTTTGGCAATGTTAACATACGTTTCCCATGCCAATAAAGCCCTTAAATTGAAATTGAATTGAATTGAATTGAATTGAAAGAGAGGAGAGAGAGAGAGGAGAGAGAGAGAGGAGAGAGAGAGAGAGAGAGAGAGAGAGAGAGAGAGAGAGAGAGAGAGAGAGAGAGAGAGAGAGAGAGAGAGAAGAGAGGAGAGACAGAGAGAGGGAGAGGGAGGAGAGAGAGAGGGAAGAGGGAGAGAGAGATGGTCATGGCAAGGGTCCAAGTCTGGATGTAAACTAATCCGTCTCTTAAAGGAGAGAAGGGATGATTGTCTGTGGGAGAGAGACACTAGGACAAATGAAAGATGCATAAGGATAGAATAGCATACACTATAGTAGGTTTACACCAGGGCTCTCCAACCCTGTTCCTGTTCTGGAGATCAACCTACCGTCCTGTAGGTTTACACCAGGGCTCTCCAACCCTGTTTCTGTTCTGGAGATCTACCTACCCTCCTGTAGGTTTACACCAGGGCTCTCCAACCCTGTTCCTGTTCTGGAGATCTACCTACCCTCCTGTAGGTTTACACCAGGGCTCTCCAACCCTGTTCTGGAGATCAACCTACCCTCCTGTAGGTTTACACCAGGGCTCTCCAACCCTGTTCCTGTTCTGGAGATCAACCTACCGTCCTGTAGGTTTACACCAGGGCTCTCCAACCCTGTTTCTGTTCTGGAGATCTACCTACCCTCCTGTAGGTTTACACCAGGGCTCTCCAATCCTGTTCTGGAGATCGACCTACCCTCCTGTAGGTTTACACCAGGACTCTCCAACCCTGTTCCTGTTCTGAAGATCTACCTACCCTCCTGTAGGTTTACACCAGGGCTCTCCAACCCTGTTCCTGTTCTGGAGATCTACCTACCCTCCTGTAGGTTTACACCAGGGCTCTCCAACCCTGTTCCTGTTCTCTCCAGGAACAGGGTTGGAGTTCAAACCTACAGGAGGGTAGGTCTCCAGGAACATGGTTGGAGTTAAAACCTACAGGAGGGTAGCTCTCCAGGAACAGGGTTGGAATTAAAACCTATAGGAGGGTGACTCTCCAGGAACAGGGTTGTAGAGCCCTGTGTAAACCTACAGGAGGGTATCTCCAGGAACAGGGTTGTAGAGCCCTGTGTTAACCTACAGGTGGTTATCTCTCCATGAACAGGGTTGTAGAGTCCTCTGTAAACCTACAGGAGGGTATCTCTCTAGGAACAGGGTTGTAGAGTCCTGTGTAAACCTACAAGACGGTATCTCTCTAGGAACAGGGTTGTAGAGCCCTGTGTAAACCTACAGGAGGTTATCTATCCAGGAACAGGGTTGTAGAGTCCTGTGTAAACCTACAGGGGGGTATCTCACCAGGAACAGGGTTGTAGAGTCCTGTGTAAACCTACAGGAGGGTATCTCTTCAGGAACAGGGTTGTAGAGCCCTGTGTAAACACATAACTGACACTCATACACAATAAAAGCATGTAAACATCTCTGTCAACATGTTGACCTCATGACCTCTGTATTACCCCTGTTGACCCCTGCCCTCTGACCCCTGTGTAGATAAGACAGGACCTGAAGGCCAATGGGATCCGAGTATACCCTCAGACTGAGTACGACGAAGATCCAGAGGACAGGATACTCAACGACAAGATTAGGGTAAGACACACACACAGGCACACACACACACACACACACAGACGCGCAGACATTCACACGCAAACACACACACACATCCATGTGTGCAGGCATTCTCACACACACACACACACACACACACATACGCAAGCATTCGTACAGGCATTCTCACGCAAACACACAAACATACAACCATGTGCGCACACACACACACATCTTTTACAAGTAAGACTTGTAAGCAGTTTGGCAGCGATAGTCAAAGGAACTCACTGGCCAAACCAAAGCACATAACAGTACAAATCTGGGACAAGGGTTTGGTGTCAACTCCTCTCCTGCTTTCCTCCTGTCTGGTCCTCTCCTGGTATTCCTCTCCTACCTTTCCCCTGTCTGGTCCTCTCATGGTATACCTCTCTTACCTTTCCCCTGTCTGGTCCTCTCCTGGTATTCCTCTATTACCTTTCCCCTGTCTGGTCCTCTCCTGGTATTCCTCTCTTACCTTTCTCCTGTCTGGTCCTCTCCTGGTATTCCTCTCTTACCTTTCTCCTGTCTGGTCCTCTCCTGGTATTCCTCTCTTACCTTTCTCCTGTCTGGTCCTCTCCTGGTATTTCTCTCCTGCCTTTCCCCTGTCTGGTCCTCTCCTGGTATTCCTCTCTTACTTTTCCCCTGTCTGGTCCTCTCTTGGTATTCCTCTCTTACCGTTCCCCTGTCTGGTCCTCTCCTGGTATTCCTCTCTTACCTTTCCCCTGTCTGGTCCTCTCCTGGTATTCCTCTCTTACCTTTCCCCTGTCTGGTCCTCTCCTGGTATTCCTCTCTTACCTTTCCCCTGTCTGGTCCTCTCCTGGTATTCCTCTATTACCTTTCTCCTGTCTGGTCCTCTCCTGGTATTCCTCTCCTGCCTTTCCCCTGTCTGGTCCTCTCCTGGTATTCCTCTCTTACCTTTCTCCTGTCTGGTCCTCTCCTGGTATTCCTCTCTTACCTTTCTCCTGTCTGGTCCTCTCCTGGTATTCCTCTCCTGCCTTTCCCCTGTCTGGTCCTCTCCTGGTATTCCTCTCTGACCTTTCTCCTGTCTGGTCCTCTCCTGGTATTCCTCTCTTACCTTTCTCCTGTCTGGTCCTCTCCTGGTATTCCTTTCTTACCTTTCCCCTGTCTGGTCCTCTCCTGGTATTCCTCTCTTACCTTTCCCCTGTCTGGTCCTCTCCTGGTATTCCTCTCCTACCTTTCTCCTGTGTGGTCCTCTCCTGGTATTCTTCTCTTACCTTTCCCCTGTCTGGTCCTCTCCTGGTATTCCTCTCTTACCTTTCCCCTGTCTGGTCCTCTCCTGGTATTCCTCTCCTACCTTTCCCTGTCTGGTCCTCTCCTGGTATTCCTCTCTTACCTTTCCCCTGTCTGGTCCTCTCCTGGTATTCATCTCTTACCTTTCCCCTGTCTGGTCCTCTCCTGTTATTCCTCTCTTACCTTTCTCCTGTCTGGTCCTCACCTTCTATTCTGTGTGCAGGAAAACATTCCGTTTGCGGTGGTGGGGACAGACAAGGAACACCAGGTAAACGGGAACAAGGTCCTGGGCAGGAAAACCAAATGGGGCATCATAGAGGGTGAGTGTTTTTACATTATCAATACATTATCATAGAGGGTGAGTGTGTTTACATTATCAATGCATTCTCGTAGAGGGTGCGTGTGTTTACATTATCAATACATTATCATAGAGGGTGAGTGTGTTTACATTATCAATGCATTATCATAGAGGGTGAGTGTGTTTACATTATCAATGCATTATCATGGAGAGTGAGTGTGTTTACATTATTATAGATTATGTTTCAGGTTTTCAGTTTATTTGCCATATGTAATACGTGTAGGCCTAGAGACCTGGAGTACATACATGAACCAAAATTGGAGATTGATTGAGATTATTTAATTTTGTTTTGTTTATGAACACCTAATGATATGCATACTGAATAATAATAATAATAATAATAATAATAATATGCTGGTATATGCAGCACTGTTGTACATAAAATAAACCACATATTATATGACTAAATATCCCTATACGGTCTAATTCTGGAATCATGGGCTCAACTGCTACCCTCTAGTGTTCGTAATGAGGAAGTTGCAGAGCAGGAAGCATACATGTATTACGAGAGAGAGAGAGAGAGAGAGAGAGAGAGAGAGAGAGAGAGAGAGAGAGAGACGGACGGACGGATGGATGGACGGACAGTTGGTGTTCCATGGATCTGGTGTAATGACTGGTTTTAACCACTGTTTTAGTCAACCTGTATATTTATTCTGTCTGTCCATAGTTGAAAACGTGGCGCATTGTGAGTTTGCCAACTTGAGAGATCTGCTGATTAGGTGAGTTACAGTTACACCTACAACAACTCACCCACGCATGCATGTACACACACATGAGGCTTGGGGTGATCTAGCGGTCCAAGCCGCTGCCTCTGGAGCCACATGTACAATGTACCGCTGCCTTCTGGATCACATGTAGAATGTACCGCTGCCTCTGAGCCATGCACAATGTACCACTCTTTGGTCACATGTAGATGTACCGCATGCCTCTGGTCCATACAAGTACCACTGCAGTACCATGGGCTCTGGATCCAGTCAATACGCTGCTGCTTCGCATCCGAAACACCGCGTCTCCTGGACACTGAGCCGTTGCACCTGCTCCATCACACGCTCCCTACCGTCACCCGGCCATCACACGCGTCTCCTACCGGCACCTCTTCCATCACACTCTCTCCTACCTTTCACCTCTTCCATCCACCCTCTCCGACCAGTTCACCTCTGCCATCACACCCTCCTACCAGTCACCTCTCCATCACGCTCGCTCCTACCATTCACCTCTTCCATCACACTCCGCCTACCATTCACCTTCCACACACTCCGCCTACCTGCACCCGCCATCACACCTCCACCGGTCACCTCTTCCATCACCTCCTCCTACCTTTCACCTCTTCCATCACACTCTCTCCTACCATTTACCCTTCCATCACCTCTCCCGACCTTCACCTCTTCCATCACTCTCTCTCCTACCTTTCACCTCTTCCATCACACTCTCTCCTACCTTTCACCTCTTCCATTACACTCTCCCTACCTTTCACCTCTTCCATCACACTCTCTCCTACCTTTCACCTCTTCCATCACACTCTCTCCTACCTTTCACCTCTTCCATCACACTCTCTCCTACCTTTCACCTCTTCCATCACTCTCTCTCCTACCATTCACCTCTTCCATCACACCTCTCTCCTACCATTCACCTCTTCCATCACTCTCTCTCCTACCATTCACCTCTTCCATCACACTCTCTCCTACCATTCACCTCTTCCATCACACTCTCTCCTACCTTTCACCTCTTCCATCACACTCTCTCCTACCTTTCACCTCTTCCATCACCCTCTCTCCTACCTTTCACCTCTTCCATCACTCTCTCCCTACCATTCACCTTTTCCATCACACCTTCTCCTACCATTCACCTCTTCCACACTCTCTCCTCCACCTTTCACACCTCTTCCATCACACCTCTCCTACCATTCACCCTTCCATCACACTCTCTCCTACCTTCACCTCTTCCATCACTCTCTCTCCTATCTTTCAGCTCTTTCCAATAAAAATACTTTAAAACAACAACTGAACACACCCCTGTACTGAGGACAGAGCAGCAGAGGGGCTAATGACAGCCCTACAGAGTTAACATACAGGTCAGCCTGGTTTCATGAGCTCCTAACGGTGACCTCTGACCAAGGGTCCATGGCCCTGTTGCATAAAACATCTTAAGTGTTTTCCTGAAGGATTTACCTTAAGGAATAATTTCCCCTTACCTAAGGGAATTGCTTAAGAGCGTTGCATAGAGCCCCTCAAACGATTTCCTTAAGTAAGGGCATACTTAAGCGGTTTTACGGTAGTTTTGAAGGCATACGGCAGAAAGAGTCTCTGGTTAACATGGAGACGACCTGAGTCACGCCCTCTGCTAAAGGTTGTCTACGTCGTAAACGACACCCTGTGCCCTTCATAGTGCATTACGTTTGACCAGGACCCATAGGGGCTCAGGTCAATAGGCCCCTGGTCAAAAGTAGTGCACTATGAAGGGAACAGGGTGCCGTTTGGGACGCATCCATAGTGTCAGGGAGGAGGATGGTGACGGGGCTGAGAAAACATCCCAGACATGTTGTTTACAACCACTTAGCAGTGTTTTTTAGACTTCCATTACTAGTACACTTTCACCCTATAGTTACACTGTACCTGTTCTGATGCTGCATGGCAACCACCAAGGTGTTAACTACAGCTGTAATAGAACACACTAACATCCATCATATCGGCTGTTTATCCTTCATCATCCATCATATCAGCTGTTTATCTTTCATCATCCATCATATCAGCTGTCTATCCTTCATCATCCGTCATATCAGCTGTCTATTCTTTATCATCCGTCAAATCAACTGGCTATCCTTCATCATCCATCATATCAGATGTCTATCCTTCATCATCCGTCATTCAGCTGTCTATTCTTCATCATCCATCATATCAGCTGTCTACCCTTCATCATCCATCATATCAGCTGTCTATCCTTCATCATCCATCATATCAGCTGTCTATCCTTCATCATCCATCATATCAGCTGTCTATCCTTCATCAGCCGTCAAATCAGCTGTCTATCCTTCATCATCCGTCATATCAGCTGTCTATCCTTCATCATCCATCATATCGACTGGCTATTCTTCATCATCCATCACATCAGCTGTCTATCCTTCATCATCCATCATATCAGCTGTCTATCCTTCATCATCCATCATATCAACTGGCTATCCTTCATCATCCGTCACATCAGCTGTCTATCCTTCATCAACCATCAGATCAGCTGGCTATCCTTCATCATCCATCATATCAGCTGTCTATCCTTCATCATTCATCATATCATTTGTCTATTATTCATCATCCGTCATTCAGCTGTCTATCTTTCATCCTCCAACATGTCAGCTGTCTATCCTTCATCAGCCGTCATTCAGCTGTCTATCCTTCATCATCCATCATATCAACTGTCTATACTTCATCATCCATCATATCAGCTGTCTATCCTTCATCATCCGTCATTCAGCTGTCTATTCTTCATCATCCATCATATCAGCTGTCTATCCTTCATCATCCATCATATCAGCTGTCTATCCTTCATCATCCATCATATCAGCTGTCTATCCTTCATCAACCGTCAAATCAGCTGTCTATCCTTCATCATCCGTCATATCAGCTGTCTATCCTTCATCATCCATCATATCGACTGGCTATCCTTCATCATCCCTCACATCAGCTGTCTATCCTTCATCATCCATCATATCAGCTGTCTATCCTTCATCATCCATCATATCAACTGGCTATCTTTCATCATCCGTCACATCAGCTGTCTATCCTTCATCAACCATCAGATCAGCTGGCTATCCTTCATCATCCATCATATCAGCTGTCTATCCTTCATCATCCATCATATCATTTGTCTATTATTCATAATCCGTCATTCGGCTGTCTATCCTTCATCATCCGTCATTCAGCTGTCTATCCTTCATCATCCATCATATCAGCTGTCTATCCTTCATCATCCATCATATCAGCTGTCTATCCTTCATCATCCGTCATTCAGCTGTCTATCCTTCATCATCCGTCATTCAGCTGTCTATCCTTCATCATCCGTCATATCAGCTGTCTATCCTTCATCATCTGTCATTCAGCTGTCTATCCTTCATCATCCGTCATTCAGCTGTCTGTCCTTCATCATCCATCATATCAGCTGTCTATCCTTCATCATCCATCATATCAACTGGCTATCCTTCATCATCCATCACATCAGCTGTCTATCCTTCATCAACCATCAGATCAGCTGGCTATCCTTCATCATCCATCATATCAGCTGTCTATCCTTCATCATCCATCATATCATTTGTCTATTATTCATCATCCGTCATTCAGCTGTCTATCCTTCATCCTCCAACATGTCAGCTGTCTATCCTTCATCAATCCCGTCATTCCAGCGGTCTCTCCTTCATCATCCATCATATCACTGTTATCCTCATCATCCGTCATTCAGCTGTCTATCCTTCATCATCCATCATATCAACTGTCTATCCTTCATCATCCATCATATCAGCTGTCTATCCTTCATCATCCGTCATTCAGCTGTCTATTATTCATCATCCATCATATCAGCTGTCTATTCTTCATCATCCATCATATCAACTGGCTATCTTTCATCATCCGTCATTCAGCTGTCTATCCTTCATCATCCGTCATTCAGCTGTCTATCCTTCATCATCCGTCATTCAGCTGTCTATCCTTCATCCGTCCTTCAGCTGTCTATCCTTCATCATCCGTCATTCAGCTGTCTATCTACACTGATGTTGTTTGTGTTTTTGTCTACAACATTGTGTATTTTAACCTATTTACATAAATAAACATGAAAATAAAGACTGTTTTTGTGTTTGTCTGTGTTTCCCTAAAGGTCCCACCTGCAGGACCTGAAGGACGTGACCCACAACATCCACTATGAGACATTCCGCGTGAGGAGGCTGAACGAGAGTAACCTGACCGTCCACGGTTTGGCCCTGTCGTGCTTTCCCATGGAGAACGGGACCCACGGAACCAACGGAACCAACGGAACCAACGGAACCAACGGAACCTCGGACAGGAGCGAATCAGAGAGCCAACTCTGAGGGGGACCACAAAGTGCGTCGCACACAGCAGCAGCAGCTCCAGCTTCCTGTTTCCTGTTTTGACCTGCAATGATTGGTCAACTGTTTCCCCCAATCGGAACACACGAGAAAGAGAGCGAAAGAAAGAAAGAGGAACTTTATTTTAACAAAGGAGAGATTTTTTCGGTGGCCACCACACCTTCGATTTTGAAATAACATTTTATTGAGTTTTACTAAAGACATTATTGATAAGAAATGCATTTAAACTTCATATATGAATATATTTACTGAGAATTAGTTTATATTTCCTGGAAGCAGGGTCACACAGGGCTGGAAGAGCAGAGAGAGAGATGGAGAGCAAGTTCTCAGGAGAGAGAGAGCAAGAAAGAGTGGATAGAGAGAGAGAGAGAGAGAGAGAGAGAGAGAGAGAGAGAGAGAGAGAGAGATAGAGAGATATAGGACGATAGCGTCGAGAGAGACAGAGACGAGAGAGAGGGAGACTAGATAGACAGAAGGAGAGGAGATCATAGAAGACGAGGTCGAGAGAGAGAAAGAGAGGAGAGGAGGAGGATACAGATAGGGAGATAGAGAGGTAGGGAGATGTGGGATGTTTTCGCTCTAATTAAAACCAGAGATGTTTGAGAGATGAGGAGGAGTGTGTTATGTGCTCAGACAATGTTATTTCGCTCTGGGTTGTATTCAATCAAACCTGCAATACCGATGTTTATGCAGTATCATTGTTTACACTCATACTACCGCTGGAATTCAGAAAACTGGAATCACCTGCCTGAGAGTGATATACAGTATCCTGTAGCTAACACAGCTACATCTCCTGTATTCTACAGTACACACATCCATTCAGCTACAGCCTCCTGTATTCTACAGTACCCACATCCATTCAGCTACAGCCTCCTGTATTCTACAGTACCCACAAACATTCAGCTACAGCCTCCTGTATTCTACAGTACCCACATCCATTCTGGGTGTTATTTGGCCACAGGAGAAATTATATGGTCTATATCAGGGGGGGTCAAACTCATTCCACGGAGGGCCGAGTGTCTGCAGGTTTGGGGTTTTTTCCTTTCAGTTAAGACCTAGACAACCAGGTGAGAGGAGTTCTTTACTAATCAGTGACCATAATTAATCAATCAAGTACAAGGGTGGAGAGAAAACCTGCAGACACTCGGCCCTCTGTGGAATGAGTTGGACATACAGTGGGGAAAAAAGTATTTAGTCAGCCACCAATTGTGCAAGTTCTCCCACTTAAAAAGATGAGAGAGGCCTGTAATTTTCATCATAGGTACACGTCAAATATGACAGACAAAATGAGAAAAAATAATCCAGAAAATCACATTGTAGGATTTTTAATGAATTTATTTGCAAATTATGGTGGAAAATAAGTATTTGGTCAATAACAAAAGTTTCTCAATACTTTGTTATATACCCTTTGTTGGCAATGACACAGGTCAAACGTTTTCTGTAAGTCTTCACAAGGTTTTCACACACTGTTGCTGGTATTTTGGCCCATTCCTCCATGCAGATCTCCTCTAGAGCAGTGATGTTTTGGGGCTGTCGCTGGGCAACACGGACTTTCAACTCCCTCCAAAGATTTTCTATGGGGTTGAGATCTGGAGACTGGCTAGGCCACTCCAGGACCTTGAAATGCTTCTTACGAAGCCACTCCTTCCTTGCCCGGGCGGTGTGTTTGGGATCATTGTCATGCTGAAAGACCCAGCTACGTTTCATCTTCAATGCCCTTGCTGATGGAAGGAGGTTTTCACTCAAAATCTCACGATACATGGCCCCATTCATTCTTTCCTTTACACGGATCAGTCGTCCTGGTCCCTTTGCAGAAAAACAGCCCCAAAGCATGATGTTTCCACCCCCATGCTTCACAGTAGGTATGGTGTTCTTTGGATGCAACTCAGCATTCTTTGTCCTCCAAACACGACGAGTTGAGTTTTTACCAAAAAGTTCTATTTTGGTTTCATCTGACCATATGACATTCTCCCAATCCTCTTCTGGATCATCCAAATGCACTCTAGCAAACTTCAGACGGGCCTGGACATGTACTGGCTTAAGCAGGGGGATACGTCTCGCACTGCAGGATTTGAGTCCCTGGCGGCGTAGTGTGTTACTGATGGTAGGCTTTGTTACTTTGGTCCCAGCTCTCTGCAGGTCATTCACTAGGTCCCCCCGTGTGGTTCTGGGATTTTTGCTCACCGTTCTTGTGATCATTTTGACCCCACGGGGTGAGATCTTGCGTGGAGCCCCAGATCGAGGGAGATTATCAGTGGTCTTGTATGTCTTCCATTTCCTAATAATTGCTCCCACAGTTGATTTCTTCAAACCAAGCTGCTTACCTATTGCAGATTCAGTCTTCCCAGCCTGGTGCAGGTCTACAATTTTGTTTCTGGTGTCCTTTGACAGCTCTTTGGTCTTGGCCATAGTGGAGTTTGGAGTGTGACTGTTTGAGGTTGTGGACAGGTGTATTTTATACTGATAACAAGTTCAAACAGGTGCCATTAATACAGGTAACGAGTGGAGGACAGAGGAGCCTCTTAAAGAAGAAGTTACAGGTCTGTGAGAGCCAGAACTCTTGCTTGTTTGTAGGTGACCAAATACTTATTTTCCACCATAATTTGCAATTAAATTCATAAAAAATCCTACAATGTGATTTTCTGGAATTTTTTTTTCTCAATTTGTCTGTCATAGTTGACATGTACCTATGATGAAAATTACAGGCCTCTCTCATCTTTTTAAGTGGGAGAACTTGCACAATTGGTGGCTGACTAAATAATTTTTTTCCCCACTGTATGTCGTCTATATGCTACTGTGTGAATACTGCAATGTGGCTTTGTTTGAATTCCATCCTGTTTCCCTATCTCTCAAAAGGATGGCAGCCTTTTTAACACTGTATATATGATCTGATGAATACCGGCAGAGCTGTAGCCTAGCCTATGTGTGGCTTATGAACCTCTCTCTTTAACACAGGCATAGGCCTGTAACCTATTCAGACGCTTCATTTAATATGCATGTTTTTGTTTGTTTGTTTGTTTAAACCTTTTCCACCTGCTGTAAACGTCGATACACACATACATATCCATACACACTTGTCCATCCATACGTGCACAGTCCAGTTAACCTCCAAGGGCCTTTCTGTGTTGTGTATAGAGGGAGTGCTAGATCCCTTCTGTGTCCTTCCCCGATGGGCAGCTGTGCTGTTTGGAGAGAGGGCTCTACCTAGAGGCCAAGTGGAGGAATGACTGGAGTCAGAGAGAAGAGGGTCCAACTGTACTCTCACCAAAGTGTCTAGGGTTGCAAAATTCCCAGTAGCTCTCAATGATACTATGTTATGGGAGAGATCAGAAATGACGCAGACAAGATTAGCTCATTGCAAGTTTACCCTCCTCTGTTTTATGGCTTTGGGTATCCCCAACTGTAACTTAGAGCCCCAAACTTCCTGTTTAACGTTAACATGTAAATGTGATGCTAGGGGCTAGTTTCCGGACACAGATTAAGCCCAGTTCATCCTATAAGCCTTCTCCATTGAAAGTGGTTCTCAGTCTAAGACTAGGCTTAATCTGTGTTGGGGAAACTGGCCCTATGATAACCATGTATGTGTGTGTAGTTGCCCATTCAAAGCCTGTCCTGTCTTCACAGACTTGACTGCCTCTTCTTTAACTACTGATCAGCTCTCTGCTACACTTTAGATCAGATCGTTAGATCATCATCCGTTGTTGTCCATTAAAAGGTACATTCCTCGCTCATTTAGATACGTAGTATTGACATTGTACACAGCCTCTTCAGCTGTGGGCAGCCAATGGCTTACAGGCATCTTGTACATACAAACATAAACATACACACACATACATACATTTTTATACACACACACACACACACACACACACACACACACACACACACACACACACACACACACGACATGACTATGTTTATGTTGTTGTTGATCTTCTGCCTCTGATGTTTTATACTGGTGTTCTGTACTAAGAACATATTAATAAACGCTGTTGATTTACCATGAAATGATCGTCACTGTTGAACCTCTGAGTGGTGGGCCCTGTGACTCACAATGACCCAGACAGGGAGAATCTCAATTGCATTTCCTTGATTCCTCAAGTCCTTTCTCCCCGCCTCCTTCTTGAAAACCCATTGGATGAGAAGGCCGAAAAGGAGGGACCTCTGACCTTCTCGTCCAATGGGTTTTGAGAAGGAGGCGAGGAGAGCGGACGCGAGGAATCAAGGAAATGCAATTGAGGTTCTCCCTATAAGGCCCTGTACACAAGTTGTACAGCTGATGTACAACGCATTTGGCACAACAGTTGTGATACAGTGGACAGTTTATCTGCATAAAAAGTGTTGGAGACAAAGCACAATGGTTGTGTAAACATGTTTTGTGCAGACAAACCTTCATATAAATATCAGTTGCATCACAACAACCATTGTTGTCAAATGTGTATAGAAATGCAGGCACGCACTACTGTGAGTTGCTTTGAATAAAAGCGTTTGCTAAATGGCAATGTAGGAGGATGAAAGCAAAGAGAGGAGGAACGCGGTTTAGTTTTGTACAACTTTTACTAAAACGGTGCAGACTGGAACCAAAACCATGTCGAAAACAACAACTGCTCTCTAACAAGGCACTGCAGCCATCCATTAGAATTACCACACCACTTCTCCTGTCATATCAAATCCATTAGATTCACCACACCACCTCTCCTGTCAAATCAAATCCATTATTCACCAAAACACCAGCTCTCCTGTCAAATCAAATCCATTAGATTCACCAAAACACCAGCTCTCCTGTCAAATCAAATGTTTCATATCATCACCACAGTATCAGTATTTACACAAAACAATGAGCAAAACATAATAAAATAAACACCCCCCCACCCCCCAAAAACGTCTTCATATGACCTCTGTGTCACAAATAATAAATAGAGAGATACCAAGATGGTACCATTACATAGGAATGTAGGTAAGGAAGTGTTGCAGACAGACAGAGATGTAGAGTAGGGTTGTTCCTAAGAATAACATTGGCCTTTAAAAGCTGCATTGCCGAGAGCGCTCTATGGATTGAATTCCGGCCCTAAATACCCCACAACATCCCATAGACCAGTGTCCCTCCCAAGCCACCGTACAGTATTGGCAGATCACTGTAAACTCAGTTAAACTGAAACAGTTGAATTGAAACAGTTGGCCTGACGCCAATGGAGACCTGGATAGAAGTTACATGTTAAGTCAAAAACTATTTTCCCATTTATGCTCCATAGACATTCTGAATACCATGTTTCTGTCCTCTCTTCAGATGCTCTTCGTACCAGATCAGTGCAAACCAGTGGAGAATTCAACACAGTGTCTGAAGACTGATGTATTTAACCCATGAACATGTTCCTCTGT